GATTGCAGATGGTTAGTGGAAAGGAACAGAATGGAGAGAGAGACAGGTGTGAATTTTGTTACAGTGAGAGAAATGATTGAAAATAAATCATTTTGGACTAACATACACAGCTATATCCGAGCAGTGATCAAGAAAAAGGAAGAGGAAGAAAGGCAGCTGGACCAATGGCAAAGGTAAGAGTGAATGATGCTGAAAGGTGAAGCTAGAAAAGTGGGTCATACTGTATGAGTTAGAATGCGTGATTCAGACTGTGGGGAAGGAGGAAATGCCCGCCTGGGAATGATGCCGAACTAGGAGCGATGAGGGCCTTCAACGCGCTACCTGGAACGAGACAGGGAGCCTTCTTGGTTGGATGACAGAAGAGACACTTCAAATGAGTTTCTAAATATTAATAAGAAGTGGCTACTTGAATAACAAAATGCAGCAGAGCAAAAGCAGCGTTTTTATAAAAATTTAATGATATATGATCATTATTACTCATGTCATTAGCAGGATTCCCCTAAAATCTCAACATTTGCCGCAATTCTTATAAAATCTATGGAAAAACGATGTGAATATAGTTGACGTATGAGACACCTATTTATTTGTAAAGCCGAAAATTTATATTCAACAGTTCAAAGAGCTTTTGTTAGGCTGCGATCTATTTACATGCTTTATCAACTTCGCGAAAGCTTTTGACAAAGTAACGCATAACACGCTAAAAGAGATATTTCAATAAAGAAGGCTGTAAGATAGTACATACAAATAAATTTTCATCAATAAATCAATCAATAGAAAACTTAATGCCCGTATCAAACATAGTGCAAAAGGAACAACAAAATGTATTCTGAAGAACTAATACTCCAATGTTGCTCTCTAATAAAAAACATCTCTTTGGTTGTTATAGTTCAAATTGTAATAGAACGACAGTCTGTATGGCAGCAATGAACAGTTTTGCTCAAAGCTCTCAGTCCTCTAATGGACAACTCATCTTACACTGGGTGAGATCACTGGAAGACAAAAAGTAACTCACAAATCAATTTTCAAGTGGCATTATTTCATGTGAATTTAAATTTCATCCATTATCGGCTATCGTACACACTTATACAGATATAAGAAAATTGTAGGGGAGAGTGTCAATGAAACGGACAGGTTATGAAACGGACAATCGCTATATTTCGGAACTCCCCGCCACTCTGACTAAACCGAACGCATTATGGTTACAAATACTTCCACTTCCTTGCGCCACAAAGCCAACATCTTGATCCCGCCGTAAACAAGTGCGTGACCTTCAATATCGTTTCTGTAGATAAAAAAGTAAATATTTTGTGTCAAAAGTGAACTCTTTCACAGGTAAACTATGTTTAATGTATTTATCATAATTAGACAATATGGTTTGTGTATGCATTAAGTACGTAAAGGTATAGAGATATTTGAAAAATCTATTAGAATTATTTGGTTTTTTGAGGTTAATAAACAAACACGACAATTGTCTTGAAACGGACAGACAATAATTTATTGAAATGGACGTCCGTTTCAATGCATCGATGTGTCCTTTTCATAACATCGAATAGTCTATTATCAAATTAATAGGTTAGAAGTTGTGTTTATGGGAATAAGCCACAATAATTGTAATTAAAATTACATTTTTTACATTGACGTTTCGACTTCCAAACCGGAAATTGTTCTCAAAATGTTAGAATTTACCTAAAAAACAAAAAAAAAATAGAAAAAAGCATCTATTTAGCCTAGTTTAGCGGAAAATGAAACGCTCTATTTCCGGTTTGGAAGTCGAAACGTCATTGTAAAAAATGGAATTTTGATTACAATTATTGTGGCTTATTCCCATAAACACAACTTCTAATGCAAACATGACACAAGCCAACAGTCACAAAACATACAAATTAATAGGTATTCATTGAAATCTCAAATAAGTTAGGAAAATAACATCTACTTATTCTCTTTTAGAGTATGGACATTAACAAAAAAAAGCGGGTTCGCCCTACAAGCTCTCAAATCAATTTAGCTGTTAAAGAAGTGTTGAATAAAGGTCAATCAGTTAGATCAGTAGCTAAGGCTTACGGCATTTCCAAATCTTATTTAGCTGATTTATGTAAATCAGCCAAAGCTCAAGATACACCGTACGACCATCTACCCAACATTGGCAATAGGCGCATTTTCACCTGTGAACAAGAAAAGATGCTTGCAGATTACCTTAAGACGTGCTCTAAAATGTGTTACGGATTAACAACTGTACAGGTACGAGAACTTGCATTTCAATACGCCAAATCTAATACTATTGCACCTGATGCATGGACAAAACAGGAAAAAGCAACAAAGGAGTGGCTTCGTGGTTTTTTACAAAGAAATGTCACACTTTCTGTCCGAAAACCAGAAAATACGTCGTTATCGAGAGCCACTTCGTTTAATCCCGAGAATGTCAATAAATTTTTTGACAATTTAGAGCTTGTTTTAAAAAAATACAACTTTCTGCCACATATGATTTAGAACCTAGATGAAACTGGTTGTAGTACGGTGACAAATCCTCCAAAGGTAATAGCTGTTAAGGGCTCAAAGCAAGTAGGACAAGTGACGTCCGCCGAAAGAGGGAATTTAGTAACAATGCTCGGTTTTCTTAATGCGTCAGGTGGCACGATACCCCCGGTATTTGTTTTCCCACGTGTCCATTACAAGGACATAATGTTGAAAGATGGACCACAAGGTGCTCTTGGCTTAGCAAACCCCAGTGGATGGATCACGGAAGATGCCTTTTTAAATGCCATTAAACATTTTATTAAATTTGTTAAACCTTCGAAAGACATTCCTTGTTTAATATTAATGGATAATCACAAAACTCATATTACGTTGGATACAGTGATTCTTGCAAGACAAAATAGTATCGTGATGCTCACATTTCCTCCACACTGTAGTCACCGATTGCAACCAGCTGATGTGTCTGTTTTTGGTCCTTTTAAGTCACGATATCGATCCGCAATGAATGCATGGATGTTAACCCACCCAGGCAAAACTGTTACTATTTATGAAGTAGCTCAATTCGCCAATGAAGCTTTCGTTCATGGATTTTCGATGCAAAATATATTAAAAGGATTTTCAAAAACTGGAATATATCCATTCAACCGTAATATATTTTCTGTCGATGACTTCTTGTCATGCTCCGTGACAGACCGTCCGTATGATTCTATTCCACCGATTACCAATAGTTCAAGTAATATCGAACCATATTCATCTAACTCTACACTACATGCTGATCTACCAGTTCAAGATCCAGAGACATTATGTGGATCATCTTTGACTCCGGAACAAATCAGACCCTACCCAAAAGCTCCACCTAGAAAAACAGATAGTCAACGACCTCGTAAAGGGAAAACAGCAATAATTACTGATACACCAGAAAAGGACAAATTGCTGGAGAAAAAGGAGGCAGCCTTGCGAAAAAAAGGAGAGGTATCACTTGAAACAAAGAAAAGAGTGAACAGTATTATATGCAAGGAGTCTACGTCTGGGGAGTCAAGCTCATACAAAAAAAGGAAAGTATCAAATGAAAGAAAAAGAAAGTTAAACAGTGCTAAAGACCATGAATTCACAACAGAAGAATCGGATACAAACATATCGTTACACGATTCAAGTGATGATGAAGCTTCTTTATCTCTGTATACTAAGAAGAATATGACAAATAATGACAATAAACAAGAACTGTGTACGGTTTGTAAAGGTGATTATGCCTCAAGCAAAATCGATTGGCTGCAGTGTTTCATTTGTCACTATTGGGCTCATGAAACTTGTGGTCTTAAAGGAGTTCTTAATTTCTTTTGCAATAATTGTAACTGAATATTCATGACTATCCCATATTATTAATGACTCTATCCCGTGTTAAGTAGTTACCAAGTTAAAATTTTATTGAATTAAAAAAAGGCAAATTTTTGTTATTTTGATCACACAAATTTTTTCGATTTGTGCAAGTCTGTTTTTTTTATTTAAGAGCATTTCGTTTCACCTATACTTGCAACATAGTAAATAAAAAGTTACTTAAAACGTGTCTTTAATTATTTTGTGGTATTCCCAAAGCATGTACAATATTCGAAAGCAAATTAGACGCATATTAGCTTCCCTGTCCGGTTCAAAGCACCGTATGTCCTTTTCAAGGCATCGGCGGGCCGAAACGGACAAAATTCATTTTATTCTTTACATCAAAGTATTCAAAAAAAAAATTCTTCTATTGAGGTATGCGTGTTATACAAATGAAGCACAAGTATTAAATTTGTGTTTAATAAATTGTTTGTGGTATTTCAAATCAACATAATAATGTACTGGGTCATTAAAGTGAACTGTCCGTTTCATTGACACTCTCCCCTACAATGTTGAATACTAAATGTAAGTAAATAGAAATATTACTATGAACATGTAAATTGCAGAAATAAATGTTTACCTTTATTTTCGAAATTGGTTGTATTTTTGAAATATTGGTTAAATATTAGACTGCTTATATTCATTGTTGTAAATTATTTAGGGTCTGCTTATTACTATGTAAATTTAAGTTGTTGTGAGTTGTTTATTCTTCCAACAAAATACATGTGCACATTTTTGGACATCAGTATCTAAGAGATACATTTTTTTAGAGTAAATATTGTTTGTATTACTAAATTTGTATTAATTTGAGCCATGTATACTTATAAAAATAAATAATCAACAAAAATTAATAACGGAACAAGAACTTCTTAAAGTCAGATGTGTAGCAAGAAAATATCTTGATAAATGTAGGTCATCATAACTCTTTTTGACGGAAAAAAAACATTGCCAGCCGATGTAAATTTTCAAATTGTATATCCAAATCTAGAAAAATGTTCAAAAAATACAAAATACATTTTGCATTTCAATTTTATATTGTTTTTTATCAAAACATAGTTTTTTTTTAGTAAATCCCATTGCAGAAATTTCAAAACAAACTTTTGTTTTGAAATATTGGAAAATAAAAATGTAAAATACATGTTTCAATCTACACTTTATAATCATAGAATTATTTCTCCACATGCAGGTGTTGATCATTGATTGTCATACCTACCATAAACTTATTTTCTACTAACTTCGAGATTGTTTCTTTCCAAACCTATATCACAATATAAAACACTAAAAATGCACCGTTGTAATATCTATCACAATCTTCTAATCTAACATAACCTCAATTTATCTACTTTCGTTTGCGGTCTCACCAATTCCAACATTAAAAGTCCCGATTAGGTAATATATGTACAAAAGTAATTCTAAATAAACAGAAACCACAGACACAACATCTTTTTACACCATAATAGGATCGTCTGGACAGTCTTCGGAACATTTCGCATCTGTCGAAAGTTGCCGACGTAACTTCGGAATAGGGCCCGTGCTGATCGAACGCACTATCGGCCGCTGATTGTGACGTTTGTCGGCTAAGCACGTGAGGTCGTCCAAACTACCATCGCCATCTGTTGACAGCATGTCATCGTCAGAAGTGGCGTGAGTGAGCGTTGGCAGAGTTGAGGTAAGATGTTCCTGTAAACAAATTATTCCATTTAGAACCATTCTCTGTATTATTACAATCAAGTAAACGCATGGTTAAGAGTATTATTGTTTAATATCTTTCTGAAACTGTGACGTGAAGATTTGCAGATGACACCGTGATTATGGCAAGCTCTGCTGAACAATTCCAATTACTGCTAAACAAAACAAACAGTTTTTGTGAAAAATATGGACTAAAAATGAATATAAAAAAGACCAAATACATGATAATAACAAAGAAAACAAATTTACCAACAAACATACATTTGGGAAATGTACCGATAGAAAGGGTTGATAAATACAAATACCTAGGAACCTGGATTTCAGATAATAATGATCAAACAACCGAAATAAGAGCTATGATAGACATAGCAAGAAATGCATTTATAAAAATGAAAACAATTCTCTGCAACAAAGATCTTAGATTAGAACTGAGAGTAAGAGCACTGAGATGCTACGTGTTTTCGATACTGCAATATGGACTTGAAAGCTGGACATTGAAGAAAGAACACATAAATAAGTTACAGTCCTTTGAAATGTGGTGTTACAGGAGGATGCTTAGATAGCATGGACACAGAAGAAAACTAACACGGAAGTATTGCGAGAAATGGGTAGAGAATGCGAAATAATAAACACAATAAAAATAAAAAGTTACAATATGTGGGACATGTAAAGAGGGGACAGCAATATGAACTACTAAGGCTGATAATACAGGGAAAGATAAGAGGAGGAAGGAGTATAGGAAGAAGGAGAGTGTCATGGTTGAAGAATTTAAGGGACTGGTTTAAATAGAACTCTTCAGAGCAGCAGTAGATAAAGTAAAGATAGTAATGATAATATCCAACCTATGGTCGGGAGACGGCACTTAAAAAAGAAGACAGTACATCCTATAGTTTAAGTTTAAACACATATTGGTTATGCTGTGGGCTATTATAATAATGAATGGGGTTCAAATGAGTAGTGACGCGCAATACAAGGTGCTGCTTCCTGATAGCACCTCTAGCCACTCCTACTCAATTCCTATCCTCACCTCCACGAAGTGCAGCTTAGGCTGCACGGGTGAACCCCGGAGAACCTGAGCAACCCTGCTGGAGATTGGGTAACCAACCCCAGTGGAAGGCAGGGTCAGGGCTGACGAGGAAGGGAGAAATGGCCCTCCGAAAAGGGGGTTGGGCGATAGGCCAGTAACCTATCCTTGTAAAAAAGTACTACTACGAAACCTTCAGAAGGGCCTCGGAATGGACGGAAATCAAGACGACGACTTTGGCAACGGAATATGGAATTTTTGCTGGGAACGTGGAATGTCAGAACACTAAATAGACCAGGAGCACAGAGGATTCTTCTACACGAACTGAAGAGATATAAAATTGGAATCACTGCAGTACAGGAAACTAGATGGCTGGGAAAAGGTATCCGAGACACTAAAACTCATACTATTCTGTATAGCGGTAAAGATGAAGGAAATAAAGAACTCGGAGTAGCCTTTATCGTAGATAATACAATGAAGCACCTGATAACAGACTTTCAAGCCATCAATGAAAGAATCTGCAAGCTTAGGATAAAAACTCATTTCTTTAACGTAACCTTTATAAATGTACACTGCCCTACAAATGAACAGGAAGAAGACACTAAGGTAGCTTTTTATCAATATCTAGAACGAATCTATGACTCAATACCAGGAAACGACATTAAAATGGTGATAGGTGACACAAACGCCAAAATCGGAAAAGAAGAAGAGTACATAGGGGTAATAGGGAAACATAGTCTGCATAGAGAGACAAATGAGAATGGTCAGTTTCTAATAGACTTCGCAGCTGGAAAGAATATGGTTATCAGTTCGACCTGCTTCCCACATCGGGACATACATAAGGGCACTTGGATATCACCTGACGGAAACACAGTCAATCAAATAGACCACGTACTGGTTGAAAGAAGAATGGCCACAAGTATATTAGATGTAAAAAGTAGGCGTGGAGCAAGCTGTGACTCTGACCATCTACTAGTAAAGATACGGTTTAGATGTAAAATCAGTCGACAAGCAAAGGAAAAATATCCGAAACAAGAAAAACTAAACTTAGATAACCTAAAAGTCTCTGAGGTACAAGAAAGATTTGAGAGAACAGTGAGTGACAAATTACTAGAAGAAAACATAGAAGAATTCACAATAGAAAATCATTGGAACACCATAAGCACTATCATACTAAACACGGCACAAGAAGTTCTTGGAACAAACACTCAACGGAGAGAAGAACAGTGGTTCGATGAAGAATGCAAACAAGCTATTCACGAAAGAAATGAAGCACATAAGAATTTCATACTCAGACGAATTAGAGAGAGAAGGACAGAATTTGAGAATAAAAGACGAAGAGCTGATAAACTATGCAGACAGAAAAAGAGACGGTACGAAAACAACCGGATACTAAACATAGAGAGGGCGTTCAAGGAAAACGAAACAAGCAGTGCATACCAACTTATCAAACATTTAAGACAGGGTTACAAACCGAAGACTAGCCTATGCAAAAATAAGAATGGGGAAATAATTAGCGATATGGACGAAATTAAGAGAACCTGGATGATGTATTTTAAGGAATTATTAAACGAAAGGGCACAAACACCACTACAACAGCGGCAGCAGCAGGTAGAACAGGAAGGTCAACAACAGGAGCTGTGGGAAGATGGAGAAGATAATGAATTGGCTAGACCTCCAACGCTAGAGGAGGTTCGAACAGCAATCCAAATGCAAAAAAGCCATAAAGCGCCGGGAATAGATAAGATACCGGCAGAACTGTTCAAGCAGGGAGGAACAAATTTGACAGAACAGATGTACCAGCTTATACAAGAAATATGGAGAGAAGAAAAAATCCCACAATAATGGAAGAAAAGTATAATCTGCCCTATTCATAAAAAAGGAGACAAACTGTTATGCCAGAACTATAGAGGCATCTCTTTACTTTGTTCGGGATACAAAATACTCACAAACATTCTTAATCGAAGACTTCAACCCCTCACTGAAAAAATTATCGGGGAATATCAAGCAGGGTTCAGGCAAAATAGATCTACTATTGACCAACTATTTACAGTTAAACAAATACTAGCCAAAGCATGGGAATATGACATAGACGTCTACAATCTCTTTGTAGATTTCAAGCAAGCCTATGATTCAATAGATAGAACAATACTACCTAATATATTACAAGAATAATATATGACATAAACATAATGAGCAGAACAAAGACTGCGGCAGAAGAAACCTACGTTCAGTTGAAACAGAGTTCAGAAGTTGTAGGGCTAACAATAAATACAAATAAAACAAAACTACTCATACAAACCAGATCAAATAGACAGGCGCAACAACAACAATTTATAGACGATATAGAATACGTGAATAGATTCACGTATTTAGGAATGGATCTGGTCGAAAATAATGAAGAAGAACCGGAAATAAATAGAAGGCTTATGCTGGCAAACAAAGCCTATTTCGCGATGGGCCACATATTCAAATCGCGAGACGTACACCGGAAAACAAAACTCCGGGTATATAAAACAATAATCCGACCCATAGTAAGTTATGGGTGTGAAACATGGGTTATAACACAGAAATCTACCAATGCATTAGACGTGTTCGAAAGAAAAATATTGCGTAGAATACTGGGTCCAATAAAGGAAAATAACAACTGGCGAATTAGATATAATAACGAAATATACGAACAATACACTGAACCAACACTAGCACAATAGACTAGACTGCAGAGATTACGATGGGCAGGGCATGTGGCCCGCATGCATGAGAACAGAATCTCCAGAAAATTACTAAACGCAAGAATGCAAGGAAAAAGACCTGTTGGAAGACCAAAAAAGAGATGGGAAGACGAGGTAGATGAGGATGCCAAAAATCTCCTAAAAACGCGTTCATGGAAAAGAACAGCAGTAAATAGAGATGTTTGGAGAGGTTTAATGAAGGAGGCCAAGGCCCGGCTTGGGCTGTAGTGCCATTGGATGGATGGTATTATAATAATGAGCATTACCTTTTCCTTTTGGATTTCCTGTATGTGGTCCTCCAATAGGTGTTCTTCCTCATCGGTAGGCTGTTGAGAAGGTTGATTAGCAGGCAGAAGCTCGTCGGGAGTAAATACTTTGGAACTTCTTAAGCTAGAGAGTCTATTGGTCGCAGCTTGACACGCTGTATCTAAAGTATCGATGTCATCTAATGTGCTTCTTATTTTTCTCAGTTGCACTCTGAAAAAATTTTAAGTTAATAGGGTAGAGTATTGATAGAGCGCATCTAAAACCTGCCACTCCCCATTTATTTTGTTTAGTAGTCTAAAGTTAAGTTTAGTGCGTTAAGTTTTGGATTAGGTATACACTCTATAAATGGCAACACTGCGCGTCGTCGACTTGCCACTACATATCTGCTTCGTTGACTCGTCGTTGCTCGTCGCCCGTCGGCAAATTTGTCATATTATCATTATACCGTGGTTGTTTAAAGGTATAACAGCGTAGAGTTTTAATTTATTTTTGTAAACATGTCTGTTTATATGGCCGCGGAAAAAGCTCAAATAATAAAATGGTTTTATACTGGCAATTCTGCGCAACAGTGTGTAGATTTATTTTCTGTGTTTTTTGAGGGAAGACCAATTCCTTGTGTACAGTCAATTTATAATATTGTTAAAAATTTTGAGAGTTGTTATTGCCTCAAAAATTGCAGAAAATGTCACGCTCAAGAAGTGTTACCAGAAAAAGTTGAGGAAAGAGAATACCGGGATACACAAATTTGTGCAACAATCGAGGTAGATTCAACACGTTCAAGTAGAAGCGTTGCTAGAGAGTTAGATGTTAGAAATGTTACTGTAACGAAAGTATGGAAAAAGCACGGTTACAAGAATTTTAAATATTCGAAAACGCAGCAGCTTTATCCAGACGATTAGTTTCGAAGAATGGAGTTTTGTGAAACTCTAATAACGAAGGCTAATAGTGAACCAAATTTTATTAAAAACATTTTATTCACTGATGAATCTTCTGTTTCGTTAGTAGGGAGACACAATCCTTCCATTACGAGGTATTGGGCGCGGGAAAACCAGCACAGAAGTGTTGTTTACCGAACTCAACGTCCTCAAAAAGTTAACGTCTGGACTGGCATTTTAGGAGACCACATAATAGGTCCATTTGTTATTGAAGGCAACTTGAATAGTAGAGTATACCTCGATTTGTTACAGAATCATGTTCTTCCTGCTATTCTCAATCTTCCTGATGTAAATCTGGAGAATGTTTGGTTTGATCAAGACGAATGTTCAGTTCACGCTCGAATTATTAGGGAATATTTAAACAATACTTTCCCGAATCGACTTATCAGTGGAACAGGCGATATTAAGTGGCCTGCGCGATCTCCAGATCTTACACCCATGGACTTCTTTTTTTGGGGACATTTAAAAAGCATTATCTACGATCATCCTGAGGCTAGAGCCCAAAATTTGGATGAATTAAAAAATCGAATAAGAGAAGTCTCCAATTCTGTTACAGCAGAAACTCTTTCATCTGTTCGCAGAAGTTTTTATGACAGATTGGGGTACTGTTCAGCCGTAGAAGGTCAACTATTTGAACCATTTCTGTAGGTCATAAAGAATTATTTTTTATTTTATTAGGAATAATATTTTAATTTTCAAGAGTATATTTTTTATTTTATCTTTAAAGAAATACGCTTTTATTTTTAATTCAACCACAAAAAAAAAATTCACATTAATAAAAATCGATAACAATGCACCGATTAGGTCAGTGCATTTTTATCGAATTTCCTACTATTAAAATCGGCTATACGTAATGAAACATGAGATCGGACGACAGAGAAGTACATCCCAAACGTTGTTGTGAGTTACTAAACTAAAATGATTTTCTGTCGGTGCAGATAGTCTCGGGTCGGAAAACGAACATTTGCAACGTTGCCGATTTTAGCGCTCCGTATAGTGTGCAATACCTAATCAAAAACTTAACACACTGTATGACATGAACATAACCTAACTTATTGCATTAGAACTTTTTAATAAAAATTTGAATATAATATGTCTACAGACTGTGACTGGCTAACTGTAAATTTTATCTTAGTTTGTAACTTTACCTGATGATGGTCTCAATACACTGCGTTTGACTGCTGATATCGATGAGACTCTCTTGCGCAGGAACCACTTTATTAGTCCTTAACACACACGGTGCAAACACTATCGCTAACGAAGCGGCACTCATCCTGTTCGTCTCCTCATGAAGAGCTACTCTAGCTAAGTGGAACATTAACCTTTCCATCAGATCGTAATTTGGGGGAGGCAGTTTCTTCAAGATGTCGTATAGGGTGGTCACCCGATCACTTTCCACCTCCAAATTGGCTGCTGTGATAAAATTCTCGTAGCACTCGAACGTTAGAAGCGGCTCCGGCATTTCTCGGAGAAAACTCTTAAGAACTGATGCCAACACATGGACCTATAATCACATATTTTAAATTAGAAACCGACAGTAGATACATTGATTTAAAATCATTGAAATAGTAGCATATTTTAATTAGAAAATACACCCATAACGAAAAATCCAAGAGAGACTTAAATAACACATCCCCATCTTCCCCCCATAATATTCCATGTTGGCCAATCCAATAGGCTTTTTCGTTTTTTTTTAACACGGATAGCATTTCTTTGACGCCTTAGAACATATTCTAAAAAGCTGTACAATCATCAGGGCATTTTTACTTTTAAAGAAGTGGTTGCTACTCTTTTTGAATATTATTGTCTTCCATTTTATTGCACGGTAGACACAGGTGGAACATACTCTATTATAAGACACTAAAGTACTATTCAGCTTGTTAATTTGTCCACTGCTGAACATACCCCTCCTAAAAGGCTCTCATATTTCTCTATTTAAGGCACTTTGTATTCCCTATATGTAAATGCGTCGAAAATCCGATCTAGAGGTAATGGATTTTAACAAGAGCTTTGAGTCATGCCGATTTAGTACACAAGTTTACCAGTTATTTACAAGGTCACAGCTCTTGTTAAAATCCATTACCTTTATCTATTTTGTTGGAGAAAATCTATTTCTCAAGTTGTCTTCTCTAGGTCTTCATTTGATAATTCTGTTGTTCCACCTATTATCCTCGATTATTGCGACATGTCTTACCTAATTCCACTTCAGGGCAATTATTCCTTCTAAATCAACTTGTGATAAGACATATAATGATCATATAATGATTCAGATTAGACTTGTTTGAAATGGGTATATTTGTGTCTGGAGCAATCCTATCGTGTTTGTTAATACTGCACTCATCTTACCATCATTTACAGCTATCAGAAGAAGCCCATGTAACCGTAGTAAAGAGCTGGAAAGCATTCTATCAACACCAACACATGTACTGAAGTTTTGTAGTCTATAAATAATTGTAGACTTGTCATATACATCTCCAACACGTTATTGTTGAGAAATGATCGATTATTTTTCATAAAGGACATTCACAAACACGAATATTCGCTGCTTGTTTCTAAAATGCAATTGTCAGGAAAAGTTTTCATGCAACTGGTCCAAATCGCCTACTTTAAGAGAAGCTAAAGTTAAAGAAGGTAATTTTGGTAGGACCACAATGATATGAAGGAGCTCTCAAGAGAGTTAATCGCGAATTTTTAAGCAACAAAAGAGATGATAACTAGAATAGTAAAAGTATTGTTCAAAAAATTCCAAAAGTTGGATGTAACGTGTTTCAAAATCTACTCCCACTTCCACTTTTTCTCTCTAGTTAAGGAACTGTTGGTTACACTTACCTGATACCTCTCGAACTCTACTTCCTCTGGATTCTCATCCAATCTATTCTTTAATTCTTTAATCTTCGAACTAACACCGGATTTCCTATAAATTCCTTCTGCATATAAGCCATGCAATTCGATCGTACTAAGCAATCTTTCGATAACTAAGGGTATTTTGCTATCCTCCGTGACTAATGTAACCAGCGGCACTCCGAAAACTTTCTTCGTTTCACCTTGTAATCCCGCTTCCTTTAGACACTGGTTTGCGTTGAGATAACACTTTTTGTGACACGTCATCTTGCAACTTTGACATACTAAACCACGTTCTATGGGCCACATGAAGAACGAACTGCAGATCTCGCACGCAGTAGGAATATTGATGATGGTTAAGAGGAAGGTATGGCCGTTGTGTTTGTGCATCTCTAGTTTTCGTTTTTTCTCCTTTTTCCTTTTGGATTTTGAAGGCTTTTCTTCGGCTCGAGATGACATAAATTCGTCCATGAAACCTCGGAACGCATTGACACCCATCGTTACAGGGAAATCTGCTGTATCGTTCGATTTTTGTTCTCGCTGGCACACCGTTTGCATCGCCTAAAAAAATAAATGGTTATTTTAAAGGGAGATTTTAAATTAAAAAGTTATTTATTCAGGCTTGGAAGTTCAATAAATTAACATAAAACAGTTACATCACCACTCCGTAAATGTTGAATACATGAAATTTGATTGATTTTATATATTTTTTTTTTAATTCCAAAAAATTTATTAAAGCGAGTTGTGGTTTGAACAATATATTTCGATTTTTATCCGAGACTACATGGCACAGAACATTTTTGCGGCAATTTAATACTGCGATGGATGAAAAAAAAAAGAAATACAGAAACATGGGCATTTTTAGTAAAAATCTATAACTATTATCAAAATACAAATACACCAAGGTCCGTATATTTGAGACACTAGAGATTTTTTTATTACTATTACTATTTGATAAAAACGTGATAAAATCCTACCAGAATTTGCAAATTGAAAGTAAACTTAACCACCAAACTAGACGTGGTTAATCTTAAGAAAATATAGCTTGTATTATATTTGATATTTTGAAGCATCACTTACCTGATTAAAAACCAGAATGAGATCCTTGTACTTAATATTGCACGTCTCTAAACTATTATGCTTCGTTGCATTGCTATAAATCTGCACCAGATTATCCTTGAACTCCCTTAAAGCCTGTTTGAACAGTTTGTCGACGTCACTGTTCTTTCCGCCCACAGACTCCATTTTCATGATTTTATCGGTTATAAACTGCTGCATGAGAGTAAGTTCTTCGGCTCCGGTTATAATTTGATCAGTTCTGTCCATAAACTCAGACGTTCCCGTCAGACTGAACTTACTCTCATCTGGCTTGCGAAGATCGTAGGGCGTTCGGGAGTGCTTCCGGTGTTTTCGGCGTCCAGAACGGATCTCAGCGTTGGGCCGTTGTTCGCAGGGCATTTCAAAAACCTAAAAGAAAATTGAATCACAGCAACTTTTAGATTACAATGGCTAGAAAGGTGTTTTTATGTGTCTTATGTTAATATTATGTACATCAGTACGGATCTTTATTTTACTATAAAGATATGGTGAAGTTTTGAAAATATAATTTTTTCAGAATTGATAAGCTGAATAAAACTCTGCCTCTGGTCGTGACTGGGTGGATTGAGTAGCTCTGTAACTACCAGTGGGAGTCCCAAGCCGGATAAAGGAGGAGGATTTGCGTCAGGAAGAGGATCCGACAGTAACTAAAAACCTTGCCAAACGCATGGAAAGAAGGAATATGGAAAACAGTTTTGCGACTTGACCACTGTGAAAAGTGAGCTAGGGCTACCCTTTCGAGGACGAAAGAAGCCAACGAAGCTAGTCTTGAGGATTACAACTCTCAATGTTGCGAGTATGACAGTTAAAGTAAGAGAGCTCGCTAATTTCATGCAAAAGAGAAGGATTGGTGTACTTTTTGTGCAAAAAACTCGTTGGAAAGGTAATAAATCGAGAGATCTTGGAGATGGGTGCACGTAAATATACAGTAGAATGAAAAGTGATGGCATAAATGGAGTGGGTATTATTTTGAACAACGAGTGGAATGAACATTTAGTAAAGGTAACCAAAAGAAGTGATAGATAATCAGTGTCCAACTGAATACAGGCAATATCAACATCACATGTGCCTACTCGCCATATAAAGGGTGTGAAAAACAGGAAAAGGAAGAATTTTGGAGTGCCCTGATTGCGATAGGCTGGAGATTCCTGTAGACGAAAAGTGTTTTATTGGAAGTAATTTGAATGGACATATTGGTAGAGAAAGAGTTAATGGAGGATAATGAAGAAATGACAAAGAAAACAATATGATTGACTTTGCAGTTGGATGTAATTTGGTTGTGATTCATACGTTCTTTATGGAGACTATAGTAGCGGAGAAAGGAAAAGTCAGATAGGTTTTGAGCTGCGTAGAAGAAGTCAGCTAAAAGATGTTATCAACTGAAAGTGAGTGTGTGGCTAGTCAACACCGACCGGTGGTAGTGAATACGGAGATAAAGGTGAGGCGGAAAGGAAAGCAAGTAGGAAATCAGGAAGGTCAAGTGATGTAAGTTTTCAAAAGTCTTCAAAAAAGATACAGTAAATGATTGGTAGGAGGTCAACAGCAAAGTTGTGGTACGAGTGGGAGAGGAAGTACTAGGAAAAATATCTGGTAAAGGGCCTCCTAGGGAAAAAGAAACTTGGTGATAAAATGGTGAAGTCCAACAAAAGGTTAGACAGAAGAAAGAGGTATAACAGGTCTAAAAGAGTAGACGATAAGGATACATACAAGGTAACAAAGTGCGCTAAGGAGTGATCATCTGCAAAGCTGTATAAAAAGTTAAGAACATCCGATATGACGAAAAGGTTATGTTATACAACATTGCTAAAGCAAAAGATAAGTCAACAAACGACTTGACACACATGCGGTAGATTTAAAAGTGCGGATGGAAGAGTGATAAAATCCGATGTTGAAATATGCTGTGAGTACTTTAGACAATTGCTACATGAAAAAGAGCATAGGCGAGACATATGATGCAGGACCCCAAATGAAGATATAATACCGGGGATAGCGAGAGATGAGGTTGTTCAGGCGTTAAATAGAATGAGAATGGTATGGCAGTAGGGCCTGATGGAATACCTGTGGAGGTTTGGAAAGCTCTAGGAGAGGAATAATACCTACGTAATCTTATTATCGATGTATTGACAGCAAGTAAGGGAGGGGATCTATTGGCCAATGCTCTTTGCGGATGATATCGTGTTAGTGGAGGAGAACAAAGAAATGTTGGCGAACAGGAATGGTAGGAAACATGACTTGGGGAAAAACTAGGCGAGTAGGGATTTAAATACCTTGGCTCCTACATAACGGAAAATAAGACACGAGATCGAGAAATTTCCCACAGGATACAGGCTGGTTAGTTTAATTGTAAAGGCTTAAAGCAAAGATATACAGTGTGGTGAGTCCTGCGTTGGTGTAGAATTGTACAGAAATATCTGAAACCGTGAAGGTCACTCAGGTAGCAAATCAAGGAAAGGGGACTTCAATTGAATGTGTTGTTGCAAAGAGCAAACATCCATTTAAAAAGCAATATACACGAAATCAGTGGTTTTGTGACTTTGCTAGATAAAGTCGTCCAATAGGTAGCTTTGCCAAAGAAGGTAGTGACATTCAGAATACACAAAAGACACAAAAAATATTCGATTAAATTAGATGGATGTGACCAAGGTGTACTACGCATGAAGATATACAATTTTCATCTTACTGAACATCAGGTTGCCACTATTAAAAATATTCATCGAAAATTTGTAGAAGAATTGAACTATAAAGGTAGCAGATAAAGTATGACACAGTAATTTTACCAGCTTGAAAAAATCTTTTAGCAGGTACTTGCAGATTTATCTCAGTCAGACAACTACAAAGAAAATGAGGCATAAAAGGTACAATCATCAGAGACTTGAAGAAAACTGGAAGAGCACAAAGTACTTATATATACATTAGAAACATATCTAAAAAATATTTCTTTAGTTATTTAAAGCAGACTTACTTTGTTTTGAATACACTTAGTATGAAACTGTTTCTTGCAATTCGTGCATTTATATCCTGGCGTGTAGAAGGCATCTAGCTCGGTATTACAGAACATACACAGATCATCCTTGGATATTCTAGGTATTTTTCTGAACGAGTGACCGGCGATAGAGAGGGCATTCACGTCGTACTTGTAATCATTTGTTTTTATCGATGGACTGGCATCTAGGCCGCCGGGATGATCGGAGATGACGGCTTTCGTAGCCGGGTCGCTGTTTCTTCGCCTGAGGTCGAGTTGCGGCAAATTCTGGCGTTGGCGTTTCGGCGTTAGGCTTTGTTTAGTCCCACCATCTGTCGAATTTCTTTAAAAAAAATGACATATATTAAAACATGTACATTGATACAACTTCAATGAATTTCCCATACACGAGACAAGGTAATAATAGTAATCTTCAACAAATGGAATAATCAGACTTGAATTGATATTAACTTCTTAGGTGAACATTAAGCAAGTAATTTCTACTAAATTTATTTGCTATCTTATATTTGATCCACTAAACATTAGGTAAACAAAAATATTTTTATGTAACTTACTAATCAGCTCAAATAAATATTACAATAGAACAAAGATCACCATAGAGTAGGTTACCATAAATAACAACTTGAGGTATAAAATGTTGACTATACTTTGATGAAAAACTGAAATGAAAAATACATCTGCTGCAAAAAGACTTACAGAAGGTAACCAAATCATTTATTTACTTATTTCTCTTACCTCAGTGTCGAATGTTGAATATTTAAATTATAATAATATAAATAATAATAATAAAAACATTATTAAATGTATTTAATCTGGTAAAAAGAAAGAGGGGGCGCGGCGTAGTGATTGTCCTAAATGTCCTAAAACACCCTCAAATCAAAGGCAGAGAAAAGTAAGGTTATGTTTTCAATGCTTAGTCAGTTGGAAATTAGTGGACAGTGCTGCCATCTGTGAATATTGAAAAATGTCACGATTCCATTAATTCGCACAATACTGTAATTCATAAACTTTTATAGTAACAATTAAATGAAAACACCTTACCTCTCTTGTATGATAAACTCAGGATGCACTTTAGATTCGTCTATGGTCCCCAAAAAGACATTCTTATCTAAACTAAGGCTATCTGTAACCTCCTCTCCCAAACTTTTAACATGTCCTCTCTTCGACTTTCTCGTATTTCTAGCAGGCGCCTCCGGTCGTCCTAGGATTTGTTCCAACTTATTAGGCGTTTGAACGTACGGATAGGCGTCGGGTCGATCGTCGGGCAGAAATTTTTCCCTGTTCGGCCTACGTACTGGTTGATAGCTTCTTAGGTGTTTTGAATCACTATGCCTGTAAGAGAAAGATGTATATAAATAAAAAGAATAGTAGAACGAGACGATAATGTTAACTATTATAAAAGTGTATGGACAAAAAAATTGTATCAGTGGAAGCAAAGTATACAACGCTAAACGAGTTTTTTCATATATATACTGAATTTATTCAAATTACTAAAGCTATAATAGTTTAGGAGTAAATAATATGTTTTTCTAGTTTTCTAAAACTCAATGCAAATCTTTACATAATTTTTATTGCTGAATTGGAATCAGTTTTGTTGTACCTGTTACAATTTTGACTGCACTAATTATTCGCAGGACATAGACAGACACACGGAAATCACCAAATTAAAGGATCGACTTTTTTTCTATAAAAAAATATAGAATAATAACTGAATAATGATGGAGATCAAATAATAAGGTTTATATTATAGATATCACGTCTTCTTTTCGAGTATACTTTCGACAAAAAACACTATGACGTATCATCTTTCCTTTTATCACCTGTAATATACAGGGTGTAGTCAAAAAGTCAAAACAATTCATGTTATATAGAGGATAGTTGTGAGGTATGGCTGAAAAGGATTTTAGAGAATAGAATAAAACGATAGCAGACGTCGGGACAGTTTAGCCTGGGAAAACGTTTCGGACCTTGGGAAAAAGCGGCATTCTTTGATGTGTCGTCAGCTGTGGCACGTAGCAGGTGTGTGAAAGGTGAGCGTGGGAACTTTCTTCTCGTCTTCTTGTCGGGCCGCTGACATGTCAATTCGTTTTCATTTCATATGTCATGTCAACTCGTCTTCTTTTCGTCTATTAACTCTCAATTCGTCTTCTCGTCGGGTAGGTATCACGTCTTCTTTTCGACTATACTGTATGACGCTATGACGTATCATCTTTCCGTCTATCACTTCATTTTAGTTAATATAATGAAACAATATAGAACAAAGCAGCAATATTAGGGACGGGATAAGCAACATTATTAGGGATGGAGGATAAATAACATTAGGGATGGGGATAACCAACACTCTTAAGGATAGGGATAAATAGGGATGGGTTACTACACCTTTTCAAAAAAAATGGAGTTGTTAACATAGAAAAAGTGTTCAACATAGTGTATTGTCAATGTAAAACGAAAAGATTAATTACGAGTTGCATACTATATTTTATCTACGACGAACAAGTAGTTTATTGCTAAATTCGAATCAGTTTTGTTGTACGTGTTAAAATTTTGACTGCACCAATTATCGGCGGGGTATAGACAGACAGACGGCCCTCACCAAATTAAAGGATCTATTTTTTAATAAAAAATAGAGAATAATAACTGAATAATGAAAGAGATCAAATAAGGTTATGGAAATGTAAAATCAACCAGCAATAACAATGATCGTTTAGTGACAGATATTAAGATTGCCTACATTGCCGTGTAACTAGAATGAAGACAGATATAATCCCAAAATTGTTAATCACTACAGAAGCACGTGATAAAAGAGAAAGAAGTAAACCACTAAAAAGCGTCCACGATTTTCCTACGAAAAAAAAATCCATTCGATCGATTTTATTTATTTTATTTGTTACTTATTTTATTTATATTGTTTATTTAATTACTATATTTTAAAATAAATGTTTATTCCAATTATATATGTTATTAATTTGTTTTTTTATTATATTTATTATATTTATTTTATTTCATATTTTTTATTTATTTTGTTTCTTATTTTTTATTTTACTTTATTTTATTACGCATAGGACTACGTTTAGTACTCTACGTAGTGTGTGGTGTAGCGTTTTTTTTATTTAATGTATATATAAAGATTTCTGTAGTACGCTCCTGTTGTTTTTACCAAAGAAAACAATCGAAATAATATTTCAAGTTTTTTTTTTGACGAGATTTTTAAATGCGTATTAACGCTGGAAATATGTTTTTATCTCTGTGTTGCAATGTTAGGTGAAACAACAAGTTTTTTCTCGCCAAAGAGGTATTATGTTACATGAAGTCCCCCTAATATTCCGGTTAGAATAATCAATAATGCGTATATTTCTACCGATTCAAAAGTAAATATAGATGTTTTTTGTCTGTGTTTAGATTCAAATATCGAACCTTTTGTTACAAGTCAGGTAGAACTCCGGTTTAAAATACGTGCTATTTTGTTAATTTGTATTATGTATATCTATTTTAACGAATTTTTTTGTATATAAAGGGATTATAATTTATGATGCCTCCTGATAAAAAAAGGTTTTATTTGTCTTTCATCGTTAGGAACAAATAATAAGGGGAAGATTGTTTGTTTTAAGTTTGTGGACGACAGGCTAGCTGTAAGACGGAAGGGAAATTTTTTTGGCTTTGAATTTGTAAAAATGTAACGTAAAATTGGAGTCGAGATTTAAGTTCTAAGCAGGGCAGACGTGCTACCATGTAGAGTCCAAGATTTGATTTGAAACGGGGCAGACATGTGACAATTGAGTCAAAGATTTGAAACGGAGTCGACGATTAGATTTGAAGCAGAGCAGACGTGCTACAATGTGAGTCCAAGAACCTATTTGAAACGGTGGTAGGCGCTTTTTGCGGATGTGAAATGTTGGGCCATTTTTGAATTCAATTCTTTTCATTTTTGGATTCAATTTCTTTTGAAATGTCTTAGGACCGGTCAATGATAATACTATCAGATTTGAATAAATACCGGAAGCTTCTAAGAAGTATGATATAGGATGTCCCCGTAGTCGGCTTGATTCTTCCACCAAGTTCCTGTTCCAATTGTTTTGCCCTGGAGTGTAGAACTAGTTCCTGATGGTTGCTGCCTTCCAGTTTTGAAAGTTTTGTCCGAGTAGCTTCCCCAGAGATGTAAAGTTTCAAAGTGTTTGTATAAAAAAAACATTAAGGTAACAATTCAATATATTAATTTTTCAAAGTAAAGACAGATATTTTTTTGGCTAAAGTAATAATTGCTTTCATAACAAATTAAAAAATTGTAATATGTATGGTTATGCTATTAATACTTTTGATTTTTGTCATCAAAATTAAATGTGATACCTGACAGCAAGCTTTAATTTGTTTTTTTTGTTATGACAATTTTAATTTGATTATTATGTAGAAACGATATTTCATATATAAGGTTAAATTTTATTATGTTTTCATTAACAAGGATCCTTAATTTTTGATAATCTAATTGGCCATAATATAGAAACCATTTGAATTTTTGTAACAATCTTTGATGTAAACTAAGACTTGTAAGTTTTGTTTATTTTGTTTTATGATATAGTATGTTTGTTTTGTAACCCATAATTTTGATAACTGTTTGTTAGAGACAAAAATAAATGTTTAATTAGTTTCTCTGATCTATTTTGAGTTTTATTTGAAAAAGATAATTTTTTTTCTATATTTTTGATGTTCTATAATTATTTCCCTAGTTACAACTAGTGGTTGTAATAGGTATAATTAGGCACCTCAAGTGGCGCTCTATATTAAATTTCTTGAGGTGTTTCCGTTTATTTTCATTCTGTTTGTCCCAAGAGATTTGTATAAGTACCCCTTTATTTCTTTTTTTTTTGTAGTTGCCCAATCCAACCCCCAATATCTTCAACTTATCCACGACCCAGCTCTCCAACAACCAACTGAGTGCCGTATGCACTTGTTTCGATGATTTTGTATGCCCAATCTTGTCCCCCCATATTCCTACCCTGTGGTAAGCAAAATAGTCGTTACAGCGGTCGCGCGATTTTTCGTTATATTACGTTTTATTGCATTTTGTTTTGTTTTTATTTTTTGACACCTCTGCGCGAATGATTGCATAAATGTATTACTTCCGTAGCCCGCGATAAGAAAGCTGTGCTTTTGCCTTACTTCAGTAACATTACTAACATCTAAATCCCTAGCAACGCTTCTACTTTAACGTGTTGAATATACCTCGATTATTGCACAAATTTGTGTATCCCGGTATTCTCTTTCCTCAACTTTTTCTGGTGACACTTCTTGAGCGTGACATTTTCCGCAATTTTTGAGGCAATAACAACTCTCAAATTTTTAAAAATATTATGAACTGACTGTACGCAAGGAATTGCTCTCCTCTCAAAAATAAATAAATAAATTTGTTTACAAAAATAAATTAAAAATCTACGCTGCTATTACTTTAAACAACCACTATATAATGACAAATTATTGGCGACGGGACAACGGAGGTTCGTAAAAAGTCGACGGCGCGCAGTGTTGCCATTTATACTGTGTATATCTAATTTAAAACTTAACGTACTGTATCTAAATAAATAAGACAAGGCAAGGAAGAATAAGGTGGCGGGTAAAGAAGAAAAAGGGAAGACTTTTTCTATCCTGATAAACTTACATGACGACATTACATTAACGACAAAAATAATTCCAAACACCAAAAATAGTTTGTGCTTACCTTATGTCTTTCCTAACCACAGTCGGTGGCACCCAACAATTAACAGCTTCAGTTCTGGTCAAAGGTGTTTTGACGTAGTAGTCTCGTGTAACAGGTTCTTTGTCCCACATGGATCGATCTCGAATTATAGGCGGTGCCGAGTGTGTGACTCTGCTTTCCGAGTAAGGATCACTGGTTGTGCTGGTAGATGACCATTGTTTGTCCAGTAGAGATTGTTCCTGTTTGTGAAGTTCTCGAACCTTGCAAAGATATTTCTTTAAAAATTAAGTTTTAATACAAATCGAAAATTGTTTTAAATTGATGATGGACTTATGTCATGTTTATACATTTTTTTTATTGCGGCACAAAGTGCCACCGTACACTCACTTATTTTTAAAAGCGTACCCGTCCGAGGGGTAAATAAACTAGTCTTTGATACGTGGGATTCATATCGAATTTTGAAGATATCGATTAGAAAATACAGGAAAACTATTCCAGGCACTAAATTGAGTGACATAATGAAATAAGATGATAATTAATATATAAAACAATATATAGGCCAACGTTACCAAGAGAAAACCGGATTTTAAACAGAAGACACCACAGTAGGATACAAGCAGCAGAGATAAAATACTTCAGAAGAACGATAGGGGCAAGAAGACTCAGAAGTGAAGAAATAAGAAACATTAGTGTTATATTAGAAACATAAGAGTTAAAATTAAACCGTTACTTGACACAATAAAAAAGAAAAAATAAGCATGGTTCGATCATATAACACGAATGGACAGTGAGAGGTAAGTGAAAAGAGTGTTGGAAGCTAAACCAGTAGTAAAAACAGAAGGAGCAGACCACTAAAAGAATGGAACAACTACATAGCATATATATTACAAAATAAGGACAAATCTTGGCAAGAAGCAATACAAATGGCAAAGAACAGAAAAGAATGGAGAAAATTCAGCAAAAGCTAGACGCACCACCCTAGAGACTTAATGGTAGGAGAGGAACGATTATGTTTGAAAATATCTTGGACAGCAATAATGTCAAATGAAGAAGGCTCCACAACGACTAGATAAAGACAGAAAGTATTAATCTAGAATATCTGTTGGGACATGAAAAATAGTACCAACCCCAATTCATTTTAAACAGTAAAGTAGAAGAAAACTGAAAAGAGAAAGCTAAATGAGATTCATGAGACAACGGACTGGACTAGACTTCACAAGACTTATGAAAATAAAAAATATAAAACTAACACATTTTTGCTATACATATATTATAATCTCGACATAAAATAATAACTATTCTTAGTCAATCGCCCTGTATATAACAGAACCACATATATTCGTATTTCAACATATTGGAGTCTTCTTTTGACAATATTGTACTGTATTGAAAGATAATATCTGTTAATGAATGTTGTTGTTTTCAGAATGCTAGACATTAAGACTTCCAAACATCATTAGGAATAATTACTGCATGCATTCTTAATATGAGTAATATTTAAATTATGTATTTAGTATTTTAATGAATTTCCGGTTTTATAATATTTATACATACCTAAAGCGATCGAATTTTTTTGCTTTCGTTTTTTGCCTATTTTATATTCCATTTCTTTGCTGTCATTTATTGTGGAATATGAATTAATATATTACTAATGTTTAGAAATATTAAGGGATATATTTTATTCAAAATAATTACCTCTATTTAGCTATCACACGCTATGGTAATTCTTGACTTTTGCATTAGGTACTATAATAAATTCTATAGAATCGTAGCATGTCCTAATCTCACTTTAATAAACCACTACTAAACTCAAATACACTACTATTTAAGAATGATCTTAAAATATTCCAACACTAACATAAGTCATCACTCAAATAAGACAAATTATGAATGACAATTAGCTGGGAGGAACAAGATAATTATAATTCATATTGATTACAATAAACAATACCTGAATCATCTGTGATACACTGACGATATAATTCTGATAGTTAATACAAAACAATCTGAACCTCAAATTTTCTGCCATAAACTATTTCTTTAACTAGATTTATAGAGGGCGATGCATCTAAAAAATATGAATGGATATCCAGTCTAGTCTATGATCCAGCGACACCATGGTATATCGTAGTAGAAGACCCAACCTTGTTCACTTATAGTTCAATAAAATTTGCAAAAATAAATAATACGAATAAAATTGAAAAGGCAAAAATATCAATGAAAAGGCAAAGCTTGCATATAAATTTATGGATAAAAAAATGAAACGAATGGGTTAGAAAAGTAACAAAATTAAAAGTACTTACAGATAATGTGGTTAATCTTAAAATGCGAATTACAGACTATAACAATCGATAAAATGATCAAATTTGGAACATGGAGCATAATATATATTGTTAACCATGAGAATACTAGAAAGGGAGACAAGGACCTCACTTTAGATGGAGTACCAGTAGATACTAGGACTTTCATATATACAGACGATACATCTATTGTTGCACAATCAAAAACTTTTGCCAAAGTGGAGACAACATTAACTTAAGCCTTATTAATTATCAGCGGATGTTTGAGACCCACACCCGCACATAAGTTCTATTCTAACGTAAGTGCCTCTCCATCTGATAACAGAAGAAAAGCAGATAGAGATGTGTATCGAAATAAACAAACTCTAGATTCGCGACATTCACTCTACGATTACAAGCCTACTGCACTAAGACTCAAATCAAGGCAAAGCTTTCTGGCCAGACCAACAAATCTGCAAAATACACAAGAAAGAACTCGTCTCCAAATGGAAAGAAGCTGTTTCTCGCCTACTCAATCGTCGATCTTCTTCATGTGCCTTGTCCGTTCCGAACGTTGGCAATCAACATGGCTATTCTGACTTTGTTTACGGCAGATCTGAATAGTTCAGCAGATGACAATCCGAACCACTGCCGCAAGTTTTGGAGCCACGAGTGTCTTCTCCTCCCTGGACCCCTTCTGCTGTCTATTTTCCCTTGAACGATCAGCTGTAGTACTCTATATTTATTATATCTCATAACGTGACCCAAGTATTCCAACTTTCTTTTCTTTATACTTATTCCTACCTTTCTCTCTTTACCTATCCGGTGTAGTACCTCTTCGTTGGTCACGTGCTCAGTCCAGGATATACGTAATATACGTCGGTAAGCCCATATTTCGAAGGCCTCTACTTTTTTCATCAATGTTGCGGTCATTGTCCACGCCTCCATTCCATATAACAAAACCGGGAATACATAACATTCCAGAAGTCGAAATTTGAGAGGTAGGGCGAGGCTTTTAGAGGTGGAAATTTGCTTCATGCTAGTAGACGATGCTCTTGCCTTTTCTACTCTTATACGTATTTCCTTCGCTTGATCCCAATTTGAGTTAACTGTTATTCCCAAGTCGATGTATGAATCCACGTGTTCAATTCTTTCATTGTCTAATATCAGTTGCTGTAGTGGTTGTTGGGTTTTGCTTACTAACATCCATTTGGTTTTTGTGATATTTAGTCTGAGTCTGTATTGTGCACTTGTTTTTTGTATCTTATTCATTGGGTAACTCAGTTCCTTCATGCTACTTGCTAGAATCACAGTGTCATCGGCATAATCGTCGATAACCTGTGTAAATGTGAGGCGGTACAAGATTCAGCACATCTACTTAGTTATCTACCTTGAACTGAGCACGATCTCCTGCACGCAACTGGCATGACGATTCAGACCGCTTTTTCTGGATGGACAAGATTTAATTGTTTGAACTGAACACGTGAAGTATAGTAGTTTCTACTGCAGCTAAGACACATGCAAAACTATAAACATGACAAAAAGAAGAGTGGTCCACATTAAATAATACATAAAAAAAGCGAGGTACGACACTGACACGGTGAACAGCTGAAAGTGTACACACAGAGTCCATGTGTATCTTTGTTTCTAAAGAATCACCTGTTTCTAAATCATTTTAGTTTTAAATACAATTTTTAGCGTAAAGTGTTCATTAAAAATAGCAATTCGCCGAAAAGTTTAAACAATAATAAAAAAATTTATTAATCCCATACCGATAAACCAAGGAAATTCAGACAAAAGTATTATTAAAAAATAAGATATGCACCGTCTTTCATAATCTTGCAGGATTAATAATGAATTAATTACTATTTAACTGTGAATAAGCCACAATTAAGGCTGTTTTATCTGTACACCAAAACCTAGATACAGTGTTCTCTCTGTTATTTACCGACAAAATATCTCGAAATTTGGACACGTTGTTCAAAATTATGTTGCGTTTAAACTGATGGTTTTACTTTTTTAATTTTTTTTGAAAGTTCTTTTGAAATATCGGATTATACAGTTTAACGTTTTATTATAACCAACCTTTTTAAGACCATCTTTTGATAGAGTTTTTTTTTCTGTAATCGTTGGTTTTTTTTTTCACCTTTTTATGTCCAGTAATAATCGAGAAAAGCGTGTTCAAACTTTGAAGAAAATTGCTAAAAAATACTGAAATCTAATAGTGAAACGTGTTACTCATCATTGGCATTTAGTTTCACCGTTATCGGCTGCGTGACGTCAAATTTCATGAACGTACGGTCAGTATACGGTCAATTTCAAGCTATAACTGCGAAATTGTTTATTTGTTTGTGACAACAAATTGTATTTTTTTTGATAATAATATTTTTTTGTTATTTTAAATTTATTATAAATAAACACCATGATGTTTTTTGCAGTCACGTTTCACAAATTTATATTCAATACTATATTTAGCTAAGACATATAAATTAAAAATGTAATAATTATTTTTAAAACATCTACGATAATCAAACAAAAAAAGTATTCCCGACAAAAGTAATTTGAATGGAGAATAATGCATTTGTTGTCATTAAACCACCCGCCGGCCGGCGCCACTGCGAAAACAGCTGTACCCGTCGTCGGCTGGCGTAAGCAGTGAGGAAAAGTAAGTGATACGCCCATTTCAAATCGCAGTGTGTTTTGACTGCTAAAACAGCCTTAAAGGTAAAAATACGTTTATTAATAACATTTAATTGTGGCTTATTCCCAGTTACATAGTAATTAATTTAAAATGCCACAAGTAAATAGCTTCAGAACAATATTAATTATGAACATACACAATGGAGAATGTAACTGGAACACAATGCCATAAAACTTCGTCTCAACTCAAAATGATCGCCGTGATTTGCTATCCTTACTATAGATGACATTCTGTAGTCATAACGTCCAATGACTATCTACAGCATCTACTAACAAACAGTTTTAATAAAAATTCAAAATACTCTCATATGCATCGAAGCAGTACTCTTTTCAATGTGAACAAACCATTCACTCCTCGAATATTCAGCACACAAAAACCCACATTCCCTTTTATGAAAGATGCAGACGAATAATAAATGAATTAAACCTTAAAGTCCCCGAAATATATCCTAGCAAGATGTCAACTCCCCCTCATTGGCTAATATCTTCTCCTCGTATAAATTTGGATATGTTGTCCGAAGATAAGAAGGAAACCAATCGTCATCTAATTAATTTTAAATGCCAAAACTTAACTTCTCAATTTTCTGATTTAGACACTGATTCACCGATGAATCTAAGACGGAACATTGTGTAGCATATGCCTTTGTAACAAAAAATAAAATAAAAAAATGTAAACTAGCCGTTTATGCTATAAAGGGTCTTAAAAATAACAAAAGACCACGCAACGATAACGTATACGGGGAAGTATTGAAAATGCTGTGCGAAACAAACAGTCAATTTCTAGACTCACTCGTCAGACTCTTTAACAATATTTATAACAGCGGGAAGTTTCCTGAAGACTGGCTAGAGTCAACTTTTGTTGCCATACCGAAAAAACCAAAAGAAAAGTCTTGTGATCAACATAGGATGATAAGTCTAATTAACCACATTTCAAAGGCATACACCAAGGTTATTTACAACAGAATAAGCAAAAAATGCGAGGATAACATTGGAGATTCGCAGTTTGTTTCGGAATTCTCTTGGGACAAGAGAAGCACTTTTTAGTCTACAGGTACTTATCCAGCGCTGCAGAGATATGAACAAAGACGTGTACATATGCTTTATAGACTACGCAAAAGCATTCGATATCGTAAAGCACGAAAAGATAATTGAAGTTCTCCATACGATCGGAGTCGACTACAGAGACATTCGAACAATAGCGAGACTCTATTGGGGTCAAACAGCTAAAGTGAAAGAGGGGTACGACAGGGCTGTATCTTGTCTCCAATTCTCTTTAATATATACTCAGAAGAAGTATTTAACACAGCGCTGGAAGAAAGCACAGAAGGCATAAAGATAAATGGAGAAATAATTAATAACATAAGGTATGCTGATGACACTGTGATTCTAGCAAGTAGCATGGAGGAACTGAGTTGCCTAATGAGTAAGATACAAAAAACAAGTGCACAATACGGACTCAAACTAAATATCACAAAAACCAAATGGATGTTAGTAAGCAAAACCCAACAACCACCACAGCAACTGATATTAGACAATGAAAGAATTGAACACGTGGATTCGTACATCTACTTGGGAACAACAGTTAACTCAAATTGGGATCAAACGAAGGAAATACGTATAAGAGTAGAAAAAGCAAGAGCATCGTACACCAGCGTGAAGCAAATTTTCACCTCTAAAAGTCTCACCCTACCTCTCAAAATTCGACTTCTGAAATGTTATGTATTCCCGGTTTTGTTATATGGAATGGAGGCGTGGACAATGACCGCAACATTGGTGAAAAAAGTAGAGGCCTTCGAAATGTGGTCTTACCGACGTATATTACGTATATCCTGGACTGAGCACGTGACCAACGAAGAGGTACTACGCCGGATAGGTAAAGAGAGAGAGGTAGGAATAAGTATAAAGAAAAGAAAGTTGGAATACTTGGGTCACGTTATGACACATAATAAATATAGAGTACTACAGCTGATCGTTCAAGGGAAAATAGACAGCAGAAGAGGTCCAGGGAGGAGAAGATACTCGTGGCTCCAAAACTTGCGGCAATGGTTCGGATTGTCATCTGCTGAACTATTCAGATCTGCCGTAAACAAAGTCAGAATAGCCATGTTGATTGCCAACGTTTGGAACGGACAAGGCACATGAAGAAGAAAACTAGCGGTGACTAACTAATACTATTTTAACAGGAGAACTCTTTGCAATATATAAATCCATTTTCACGTTACAAAAAGTTCAGAAATTAACTTCCTAATAATTACAGACTCACTAAATTATTTAGAAATCATCTCTAAAATCAGTTCTTCCCATCCTGTGGTCAAACTCATTAGACAAGAATTGCATAATCTAATTCACAGAAACATTGCTTTCCTGTGGGTGCCATCCCATATTGGAATCCATAACAGGTGTAATTACTTGAGATAAAACCAAAATTTTAACTATGGTCTGATAGTTCTACCAATTGTTTTTCTCGAGTGATCATCACCTGAGAAACCATCACCATCATCGCGACTGCGGCTTGGTTATGGTCGTCTTGTACATGGACATCTTATGAGACGAGATCCCCAACCGGAGTGTTACGCTTGCGAGACCCCGCTAACAATAAAACACCTTCTAGTGGATTGCCTGTTACACAGTGTGGAAAAGGGTGAATTCGGAATACCAGAAAATTCGAAAAAACGATACTTAAAGTTCGGTGTCTTAAAGTGATTATTCAATATTAAAAAGCACTAAACTATACTATACAAAATTTGATTATGGTATGTACTATTCTACGGATGTTAATATTTTTTCTTCTTTCGCTAATAACCATACAGGCTGAGAAGAGTTTGTAAATAAAAAAAAACTTGCGTAAAAGATCAAGTGCAAAAATCAACAAATAATAGTATTTTGGAATATCAAAAATATTCTTATTATAAAAATTACTTACTGTTACGCTTGAATGAGAATCCGAACTTTGTTGGGACTCCAGGCTCCTTTGAGAACTTAGCGAATCTCCACTGCCTTTACGCTGAGGAGTGTAATCCAAATCCGAATAGTCGATAGTTTGGTGCGATTTTGGCGTCTTCTTTCGTATCACTTCTAAAGTTATCTTTTCCGGTTTTAAGTCTTCATACCTGAACATTTAAAAACGATTTTTTTTTAAAACGAACTTCCAAAAGGTCCGCTTACTGGTACAAGTTTCTTTTATTGTCTAAGTACATATAGCAACTATGATGTTAAATTGAAATCAAAATCGAGATCTTTAGCAATAATATTGTGAAATTGTGAGACCTTTAGTAATAATATTTATACTTGTACAGCATTGTTTTTATAAAACAAATCCCGACTAAAGTAGTGACTTTTACGATATATTTAAGAAAAGTTAAGAGAAAAATATGCAGAACTGTTATTTATCAAAATAAAAGTGTACAACGTGTTTAAACCAAAGTTACATTAAAATAAAACACACAAATACAGATTGATATGACCGTTAGGGATAATTACGACGACTAAAGTGAAAAATAAAGATTTTGAACGTGCCCGAAAAAAAAAAAACTATTAAAATACGCCATCATTATATTTCGAAGATTTTTATCGTGAATGCCGATCGTCCATTGACGAAAGATAATAAATATAAGGACAGTGAGTGTAATTAGTGATGTAGTAATTAGTAATGAGTGAATTAGGAAAACTTATGTCGTACATTTTTTACAGAGGAATTAGAAAAAGCAGGGGTAAATTTTAACAAATTGAAGGACACAAAACTAAGGAATGGAAGCGATTTTAAGAATACCTTAAATCCGTTGACTATTGTAAAAAAACTGGAACCATATGCATTTTGGGTACATAGGAGAATCCTGAAGATCTAATCTTTTGAGCACGTAACAAACAACGAAGTCTTTGCTTGTGACTATAGTTTTCGTTCGCTCCTGATAGGTATTATGTTAATAATCTTCTTCTTTAGGTGCTACATTAGGTCTCCCTAACATTGGAGAGTTGTTAGCGGTTTTGTGTTAGTCGAGTCTATATCGGTCTTCCTTAAGAATGGCATTTACTCTAATAGTCCAGGGTATTCGGAGTATTCTGTTATGCAACTGCATCTCAAACGCCTCTAGGCGATTGATCGCATCAACCTTTAAAGTCCAGATTTCGGTGCCATTTATCAACACGGACCAAATAGAGCAATTAATCATTCTTTGGCGCAATTTTAGGTTTAAGTTGTGATTACAGTAAAATAATTTTATTTTCAGAAACGTTGACCGTTTGACGTTTGAAATGTGGTAGGCAGTTCATCTAATTCCGGCTTTATCTCTAACCGTTCAGAAATTAGTCTTCTAATTTTTCTTGGAAATTGCAGACTTTACAAACGATCCTTTTAATGACCTTTTACTAGGTCCTTCACCAGCTGTTTTAAAAATGTCTTCTCTGCATCAACAGACTTTCATTATTATGGCTATGAATGATGAATCCATGTAGAGCGCAAATTTTCGATCAAATGGAAAAATATAACAAAGACACCCTTCTTGTTCTTCTCCCCACATTGTAGCGTTTATAGCGTTTCATTTTCCTAGCCCTTAAAATTTTGATTGTGCTGTATTTTGATTATAATACCTCGTACACTGTGAGTAGATATCATTCTTAAGTTTCACCCCAGAATTAATTTTGTCTTGGTGTAATTATGTATTTCTCACGAAACCAACTGCGTAGGATATATGCAGCTGCACTTTTTTTCCTCCAAGTAACTAACAAAAATGTTCATATGGACATTTTCAAGTTGTCTGGAAATAGTGCAGTAGAGTAGGTTGCGTCGGTTGAAGCTGGGAAAACTTTACAAAACGTGGGAAAAGTCGGCATCCTTTGATGTTTGCACCTGCTCAAGTCTTCGAGTAACGTCACGCTCGCTGACAAGTCGGTTCATTTCTTCTTCTCGTCTTCTTCTTTTCTTCAGGTCATCTGTTAAGTTCTTTTCGTCTCATGTTACCTTTTTCTATTAACCCATTATTTCATACACTACTACACACAGGCCTCCGTTATTTCGTCCAGTGCTCTACGCAGATCTTTCGCACAGCACTCTACATAGGTGTACGATTCTTTACTCCAGTGCTCTATATAGATCTACGATTCTTTCGTCCACGTCTAGACACAGGTCTTGTCGCTAAACATCGTACGGCTCCGCTGCCCAAATTAGATACCCAATATTTTCTTTGATAACTTTTTAATAAAACCCCGACGCCGAATTTGATGCTTTATTAGTTTTGATGTTGCGATGGGTGGTGACGTTTAGTTTTTTTTAATTACGGTGGTATGACCGAGAACTCGAAGTTTTAATTCTTTGTCACTCTCGTTAAAACATAAAATATAGAAAAAAATTCTTCTCTTCCTAGTTTTTTTTACTGGCCCGGCATTCAGTAGTCATGCTCATCAATGTCACTGCTTCTGCAGGTTTATGCAGTTCAATGCCAGGCTACTTACATAGGCCACCCTTTGTCAAAATGTCATCAATTTTCTTCCTTCATTCTCTTAAAACCGACGAGGTAAGAAAGGAATTTGACCTCGTTCGAAAGTTAAGGCACAGATGTTCACGAATTTTAAAAAAGTGCGTAAATTTAAAATTTAAAGGTAAGTATTGGCAAATGGACGAAGAAGTATTGGCAAACCAAGAAAATAATGGTGCGATAATTTAAACAATTTAAAAGTGTTATTTTTAATATAAACATTATATATAACAATTTAATATAAATCAATCTATTGATGATCTCTTGACGATCGATCTATTGTATTTTAGTCAGTTATTGTAAAAATAATATTTTTTTTAAAAAGTATAAAAACTTGAGAACTTAAACACATTAAAAAATTGTGTTCCTGGTACGGGTGTAAGTATCTAGATGGATGGAGTTGAAATGGCAGACAGCTTGAAGGAGTCTACTGTTCTGTGTTTAGATGTTTTTTTGAAGAACATTTTTGAAAAATGTTTTTTAACTTTTAATGGAAAAATGTTGTTCACCAATGCGCTCCCTCTTTAGTAGTGGTATAAATTTGTCCATAGCTCTAAGGATGACTTTGTAAGCCAAAAGCAGTCAGCTAAGAATTAAATATTTTACACACTTCAAAAATACTTTTCTTTTCCATATTCATTTGTCATAGGTGTACAAAAATATAGTTTTTCATTAACTTATCATTCTTCTTCTTCATGTACCATGTCCTTTCAGAACGTTGGTTACCATCATAGCTATTTTAATTTTATCCACTGCCATCCCAAATAGCATGCTTGTATCTACACCACACCAATCTCGCAAGTTCTTCAACCATGAGGTTCTTCTTCGTCCTGGACTGCGTTTGCCTGCTATTTTTCCTTGCATGATATTTTGTAGCAATCTATATTTGGGACCTCTCATTACATGTCCGAAATATTCCAGCTTTCTCTGCTTGATGCTTTTTATGATCTCAGTAGTCTTGCTGAGACGTTCTAGTAATGTGGAGTTACGAATTTTCTCCACCCAGGAAACTTTTAAAATTCTTCTATAGCACCACATTTCGAAAGCCTCAAGGCGATTTAGATCGATTTTATTCACAGTCCAGGACTCGACAGCATAAAGTAAGACCGAGAACACGTAGCAGCGAAGTAGGCGGATTCTTAATGCCAATTTTAGGTCTCTGTTACATAACACCTTGGACATCCTTCTAAAAGCTGGTCTAGCCTGCCCTATTCTGGATCTAATTTCGCCGTGATTTTCTGCATTACAATTTTATTGCTGTCCAAGGTAGACGATTTTATCAACTTGCTCAAGTTTGGTATTATTTACATATATAGACGGTTTTATATTCTGTTGTTTACTTATTACGAGTATTTTGGTTTTCCTTATGTTAAGATCCAGACCTGCCTCCCTACAACTCTCAACGACACTATCAAGTAGTGTTTGCAGATCTTCTTGACTAGAAGCTAGGAGTACTGTATCGTCCGCATATCGCAAATTATTGATGACTTCGCCGTTCACAAGTATTCCTTCTTGTTTTTCAGAAAGTGCTTTTCTGAAAATTCTTTCGGAGTAAACGTTAAAAAGCAGGGGTGACAAGAGGCATCCCTGCCGTACTCCTCTTTTAATATTGAGAGCTTGTGATTCCACACCATCTACTAAAACTGATGTTGTTTGATTCCAATATAAATTTGCAATTATTCGAACATCTCTGCCGTTAAAGCCAATGTCTTTTAGAGCTCATCATTAGAAAGGGTATAATTTGGTAAAGATTTTTATCGCTATTTTATCAGGAAAATATAAGTCTGGGACTGGAACATCAAAAATTCAATAATCATATATTCGCCCCATTGAAATACATTGCCCAGATGTGGAAGTGATCATGTTTCTAACTTAAAAATAGCCAGGTGGTAGCTAGTCAAATTTCAAGCACTGATGAATTAGAATATCATTTTGAATGAGTAGGATGAAAAATCAAATGTGTTTTCTTTGACACAGCATTTAGTTATTAAACAATCCTCGAATTATAAACAGCGATAAAACAAATAGTTTACTGCAAAAATGTTGATTATACACAGAATCACTTATTGTGTCATTAACTATATGATTGATAACCCGTTTTTGTAATTGACAAAAATAATTTATTGATCAACTGAATATTTAAAATTAATCTTTGTAATTTATCAAAATTCACAAAAAACTAATATAAATTTTAACATTACCGCCTGTAACAATAATCTTTGTTTGTTTGAAAAATGTCACTTATAATAGAGTAAAATAGGTCATTACCTGTAATTTCCCGAGTTATTGAGATAATGATGATAATAAGCAGGTTGTTGAGTTGACACGCTCGGTAGTGAAACGGTTGACCTTAAACTTATTTTTCCGTGCGAAGTAGTATCAATGTCATCCTCCGGTATACCACTGCTCCTGTAAATGAAAAAAATGTATAAAAACTTGACACGCAGCAACAAATAACGTGTACATTAAATTAAATTGGATTAAGCAGTACAATCATCATTTGAGGCTTGCTACTTAAATATGGTCAATACAAAAGGCACTTACTCATCAGAATCCAACAGTTTTCTATCGATTTGATCTGCACGTACTTCTTCAAGACTAGAATCTTTACTAATGAATGCCTCGTCTGAGCTTCCATGTTTTATTTGGAGATGAGCAGGAAGCGCACTAACAATCTGGAAAAGAAATAGAAAAATATAATCACAAAGGCAATCTAAAATTAAGTCAAAAACAAAACACCAAAATATGTAATGCACATAAGTTATCTTCTCCAACACTTTAAGACGACTGTTTTTTATATTCTGTTAATAGCATATATATATATATATATATATATATATATATATATATATATATATATATATATATACAGATTGAACCAAATTAAAAGGGAACATACAATTTAATACATGTCTGTTTGAACTGCATTTAAAATAGTGGACCAATATAAAACTTGGACAAAAATAAATCCATACCTGGGTATAGACATTGTATAAAATATCGTTCAACTATCTGTCTCGCAACTAAGCTGTTTGCGTAAGACGGGTTTGTCTAAGGAGGCGAAAATAGTTCAGGAATTGAAGCTCGAAAAAAGTTAAAACCTCGCAATTTTTTCGTCCTGTATGTATCCAGTTGAAATTTTAGCAGAAGGTAGGTAATAGCCCAAGGATCAAAATCTATATCGAACCGAAGTGCGCTGAAGGGTTTTAGGGGTGAAAACTACCCCTAATTGTCAAAAATTATAAAATAACATTAAACCTGAATATGGGTAAGATTTGGTTTGAATTAATTAAATAATGATTATTTTATACTTTTGAATAGAGTTCCATCATATTTTAACCCTTAAAAAGCAACCCTTGTTAGAGATTAATGTAAAAAATTACTAATTTTAAAAAAATGATTTCGCCTTGGATCGATTTGGATAAAAATTTGGATTTAAGCTCAATTCACCCGCTGCTTTATAGTTTATGTCATGTCGACGAACCCTGATTGTTCTTAGGGGTGAAAACTACCCCTAATTGTCAAAAATTATAAAATAACATATTAAACCTGAAGATGAGTAAAATTTGGTTTGAATTAATTAAATAATGATAGTTTCGTGCTTTTCAATAAAGTTCCATCATATTTTAACCCTTAAAAAGCGACCCTCATTAGAGATTAATATAAAAAAATTAGTAATGCGAAGAAAATGATTTCACCTTGAAACGACTTGCATAAAAATTTGGAATTAAGCTCAACTCACTCTCTGCTTTATAGTTTATGTCATGCCGATGAACCCTGATTGTTCTTAGGGGTGAAAACTACCCCTAATTTTCAAAAATTGTAAAATAATATTACAAATCCTAAGATGAGTGAAATTTGGTTTGGATTAGTTAAATAGTGAGTTTTAAAAATACAAATTCATACATTTTTAACCCTTAAAAATCAATTGTTATAAGTGCTATAGGTGAAAACAATTTTTTGCCAAAATTTTGCAACTTTTCAACTTTTGAAAATCACCCTTTACAACATTGAAGTTTTTATAAACTAATTTATAAGATATAAATTGAAAAAAGTAGAATTAAATACAAAAAAAATTATCAACATAAAAAGGCACCATATATTCTTTTACATTTACATAAATAGTTGAAAATATTTACATTTATAGGTAAAACAATTATAATATTAATTTTATTCGTCATCAATTACATCTTCATCGTGATCTATGTCATCATCATCTTCCTCAATTATTGGTGGACTGTTATTGCACCCTTCACCTAAGCACCCAGAACAAGTAGAGTTACAGTATAAACCAACTTTTCTGCACCCATATGAAACGCCGCATCCTTTTTTGCATTGGCAAAAAATAATTTTCAAAAATTTATCGGGTGCAGGTTGTTTGTTCATGCGTACGGGTAATAACAAACCATCTTTGGAAAACCATCCCCAATCTGTTGCTCTGATATTTTCATTGCCAAGCGATAGACATATGAGCAGATGTTTTATTGTTGTATGGGATTTCAAAATAAGTTAAACGATTATAACGCCCCACTAGCTAATATACCGGTTTTGTAGATTATTATGCTCCGAAATGTACTGTATTATACTAATGGAATTTTCCGGAAAAAAATTAACTGGTATTTTTAACGTATTTTCTTTAATTTTTAACGATAGATGTTTCTTCAAAAACGATTTGTAGAGGTTTTTAATAGCTACAAGGATCTGTGAATTAAATCTTTTTGGAACCCTTGGTTTTTAAATGGGGTGAGTTTAAAGGGCTCGAAAAAGATGGTGCTTGATCGTAAATCGATGCTTTAAACGGCTATATCTCGCCAAATATTCATTGTACAACAAATCTAAATAAAGGATAATTTTAGTCATTACATACTACAATTTGGTAATTTTTATTTTTTTCATATATTCAGTATTTTCGGGCATATTTAAAAAAAGAAGGGTAAAAAATATGAAATTGTAAATCGTTTCTCGCTTTAAGCTGTACTTTTTCTAAAACTAAGCATTTTAAATGGGTCAAACTTCTTGGACGTATTAACAATACATCTACAAAGGGAATTACAGAAGGGTGAAGATCGATTTTAGTTATGGGGGTGGTTAGGGTGTTGTTTTCCTCGATTTTTTCGTAGAAAATGAGGTATTGACCTTATTTTTTTATGATAGGTCTATTTATGCTCTTTAAAAAAGGTTTTGTGAGTTTTCTTCCAAAAATGCATCATTTTCCCGATATTTGACTTTGAATCTTTCAAATTTGGCATTTGAAGAAAACCGCTGAACATTGATATTGTATTTGTAATTGTATTTGTCTTTTTAAAAGCTACAAATTTGTTCTTCACAATTTTTTTGATAAAATGCACCATTTTCGAGCTATTCGCGAAAAATCGATTAAAAACGTGGATTTTTTCGTCTAAAAGTTGTTACTTTCAATCGCGAATAACTTGAAAAATATCATTTTATAAAAAAAATGTATAGCACATTTTTTGTTTAGAATCACTTTTCTAATCGAAACCTGTAGTTAAAACGTAAAAAAATTTTCACCCCGGAGATGGGGTGGCAACCACCCCCTAGGCTTTGACGCACTTTGGTTCGGTATAGATTTTGATCCTTAGGCTATTACCTACCTTCTGTTAAATTTCAAGTCAATCCACGCCGCACGAAAAAATTGCGAGGTGAAATGCTACATTTCCTGGACTATAACTGGTTTGACAGCATAATCGTAGATTTATGTGTAGCTTTCAATTTGTATGAGTTCAGAATCCAGCAGCCCGCTGAAGTATGGGATTTTTTATAATATAATTATTTGACAATCTTTTGTTGGCCAACCAGCTACAGCAGAATTGAGCCGAAATACATTATATTAGTATGTTCCGAATTTATTTCGTTCAATCTATATATATATATATATATATATATATATATATATATATATATATATATATCATTATATCATAATAGCATATCAGAAGTAGCCAATAAAAAGAGGAGTTCGTCAGGGCAGTGTACTTTCTCCACTGTTATTTAATATATATTCCGAAAAGATTTTTCAAAATGCCCTCGAAAATATTGAAGAAGGAATAAAAAGCAACAGAGAATACGTAAAAAACTTAAGATACTACTAAAAAACGTTTATTTATTACATATTGCTATACGGAGTGGAAACATTGACTCTCGTAATTACAAGTATGAGGCGTATAGAAGCCTTTGAGATGTGGGTTTTTCGAATGATGCTGAAGATCTCTTGGACAGAGCACGTGACCAACAACGAAGTGCTAATAAGAATGGGTACTGAGGGAGAACTAAATATTGTAAAATACAGACAAACGAGTTATCTAGGACATATTTACAGAAGAGAAAAATACAATTTCCTACGACTTATAATGGAAGGGAAAGTGGAAGGAAGAAGAGGTCCAGGAAGAAGAAAATGCTTCTGGTTGAAGAATGTAATAGACTGGACAGGATGGACATACATTCGATACTAAGAACAGCTCAAGATAGAGAGCAATTTGCTGTAATTAAGTCAGTCCAATTATTCAAAAATATGACAAAATAAAGTTAAAATTGCCGTGGTAATAATCAACATTCGTAGAAAAGACAACACGGCGCAGGCGCATCAAAAAAAATAATTAGGAAACATACGAAAGGGATGACTTTCATGAAGATACTCTCGATACATTTATATAATACATACCCCTTGTTATTAAAATATATTTACATATAAATATCAAAGAAAAATGTTTACCTTAAACTCTTCTATGAACAAAAACTTGATTACACAAAGTGACATTGATTTTTACACTATTTTCAAAACAACGCCCGAATGTTAAGTCTTCACTGCAATTGTCCAAAGTTTAATGTCAATGAAATGCAACCTCTAAACAGCATACAATCTTATGAATGCAAGATCGTCGTAGCTGAACCCAGTTAATTATAATTGTGGGAATGTACCTTATACAAAACAATTATTACCACTATTTGGTGTTCAAGTACAAATATTCGATGACGTGGGAATGTAAACAGAAAGAAATTTGCAGTTGTGACATAATTATTTTTATATTTAACGATACCATAATATAATAACTACGATTAAATGTTTATAATTAATGTAGCACATAAAAACTAATTCTAAACTTGCATACCACCTGGTATGTTCACACAAGATTGAATCTAAAAAAAAACGAATATACAACTTATACCTCTTCCAAGACTAGGCTAGTGTATTTCTAATTACTTTGTGGAGATCACTTCTATATTGGTTAGTGCGTTTATACTAGTGGCCAAAATTTTGAACACCTAACAAAAATATTGTTTTTCCAGCAACACTCATCCCGCGATCGTGTTTTATATATTTTATCAATATTGTTCTGAAGCTATTTTCTTGTGGCATTTTAAAGTAATTACTATTTAAATGGGAATATGCAATTAATGATTCTTATTAATTGCATAATCTTTTAATGCACACGTATTTTTATTATTTCTGAGGTCACTTTTATGTGATGTTAGTCTGCCTATAAGATTTCTAGATGTGTGTCCGATGTATGACTTATCACAATTTTCGCATGGTATTCTATAAACTACATTTGAGCTTTCCATATCGCTAATAGGTGATTTAGATTTTTATATACAATGATGCCAATGTTTTAATATTTTTAGTTGCAATTTTAATCTGAGAATAGTTAGCAAAGACTTTAGTTAGCTTGGATGTTAATCAAATGGGAGGAGAAAAACCAATCAATATAGAAAAATCATCTGATTTGGCATTAGTTCAACAGCAACCCACAATGACAAACATATTATAATGTAGTATAACAATTATTAAATTCAGAAACAGAGCAATATTATACAAAAGCATTAGTGACAACTCTTGAAATCTACAGAAATAAAATATTCATAGCGTGTAATTTTTACAACATAAATGCTGCAGAGAAAAAGACTATGTAATGACCACATAAAAAACTGGGAAATGGAAATGAGTAAATAAAAGAGATAAAACTTCTCAACGTGGTTATTTTGTTACAAGATGTAGTGAGAGAAAAAACAATTGTGAACAGGCATCGATCATTTGCAGAAATCCAAGTAACGTGCTATGCCGTGCTTTTTTTGATATATGCCGTGGTCCCTTAATACAATTTACTTCTTTTTAACCCTGTATTTAAAAGAATAATCAAATAAAAGTTATGATTAATTGAGCTTACCTGAGTTCTTCTTGGCGGTATGCCTCCTTTCATCTTTATTTCACATATCATTTTCCGAACTTTACAACCTCTACAATGAGCTTGGAATATAACTAGTGTTGTCTTCAGCTTTTGTAGCCAACTTCTAGATTTGTAACCTCTCCAATGTTTTTGTATCTTCAGCGTTGCTTGAAGTCTTCTAATATATTTTTGAACCAAGAACATTCTAAAAACATACATACATAAATACCTTTGTGGTGTTTCTAGAAAATTGGTTAATTTCTAGTTTTATTAAAAATGAAACGATAAAAGATCTTAATATTTTAACGGGGATGGGCCACAATGAAGGTTAAAACAGTTGTCTAACATAGGCAGAAGTAATCCAAGTAATAAATAAAGTTTTACTGTAATACAAAGCTTTTGATCTACATAAATACTTTTTCAGTAGGTGGTGTAACAATTATACAAATCTTACTAATACAACAAATCACTAAAATATAAAACTAGTTACCGTTGATATTAAAAGAGAGCCCGTTTTGAAATACAAAAGAAATATGCGAACAACTTGGTTACTAACCTGCAGTACGACTGAAGAGTTATCACAGCAGTCTTAATCCTCAAAAACCGTCTTCTCTCCAAACATGCTCTAAACCATCGTTGTAACGTCACTATACTAGCCATAATTTGTTGATGTAGTTTACAATCCAGTTTATACTTCTCACTCTCTCGCATAAAGACCTAAACAAACAATCAAGTCATTAATATCATAAGGTCATTGGTTAGAAAACTACTGTTTGGTAAAAAGTTACGACAAATAAACAAAAAGATTAGGTAAATTGAACAAAAGACTCTAAATATCCGTCTCATCAAAATATATTTAACGAATTTTTAAATATAATTGATTTGTTTTTCGTATGACTGAAATCTATAGTATGTAGGTAAAATGTTAGTAGGTACACAATGTGCTTGTTCTTAATTATTTATTATTCATTTTTCTATAAAATTATGCAAAATGGGAATGCTGATGAGAACATTTCGATGACGATATAAACTAAAACAGTAAAAAGTTCTGGTATAAAAAATAATCCACACACAAAAATGGTTTGGGTGTTAAACGATATTTTCTTCTTGCAAGTGACATTCTCTCATCTAACGTTAATTATCATCACTGCAACACGAACTTTGTCATACCGCTTTTCTAATTTTCTAAAAAGTGTTATTTTCCTGAATCAATGCGGTTTGCGAAATTTTTTAGCTAGGAAATAAGTTTCATTTTTGTGTTTTTCAAAGTAAATAAAACTTCAAGTTTTAAGAAGGCATCTACTTCTACCTAGCACCGTACTTTGTCCTACACTTGATACTTTACATCAAGAGTACACGTTTCTATGGCATGATATAAAATGCTAGAACACATAATATCGAATCACTCGAATTCGTAAAGTCTGTTTAAGTTTCGCGACTATACAAAACAGGTTTCATTGTAATAAAGAATGTTCTGGCCTTTTCGGTTCTTCCACGGATCATATTATATAGTTCTCGGTTGTAACGTAATTTCACAGTTCCTGTAAGCCTTCCAACTTATCTACAATTACTAACGCCACCTGCTAGGCTAAACGAACGAGCTATCGCCGAGTCGTGATTCTTTCCCTCTCATCCACCCGATGTACTACTACTCATCCATCGGCCGACTTGCTATACTCGTGACTACCAATTCCAAGCAGCAAATCTAAGGATTTTAACTGCTATGTTAGAAATTAAAATTTCTAATTGACCCCGAGTTAGAACCTTCTTCTTCGGGTGCCGTTCCGGATATTTGCAATCATAATGGACATTATAATTAACTGTCGAAACAACTTCTATTAAGTTGTTATTTTCACCTGCAACCATACTTTTAGCCGAGATATTCGTCGTCTTCCCACACGCCTTCTGTCCTATATTTTGCCGTATATGGCAAATTATATAAAATATATTTAATTTCAGCAGTACAATCGTTATTTTCTGTTATTAATTAATGTTCCCAGGTACTTACATTTTTTACTATTGCGATATGCCAATCTACCTACCATTAGGGTTTCGTTATTATTGTTGTTCTTACTAATAATTTTTAAAAACTTGGTTTCTTATGTAGAGGTGCTTATTATCCACTGTATTCTTTCCAGATTTTCTCAACGATCAGCTATTATTATTGTGTCATCAGCATCCCTAAACACATTTTTTATTCCTACTATTTCCGCTTCAATAGCTTCCAGTATGATTTTGTCAAAGTAAGCGTTAAATAATAGAGGTGACAATATTGGCGAAGAACCGCAAATTGGGCGACGCCTAGTGGTAGATTTCAAAAACATCCCCTTCGGGAAAACATTGAAATTGTCATTATTTTGTATACATATTAGCGACTGGTTTATATTGTAATTAACAATGACTTCGACTTCAAAAAACTATTGTAGTGTTCCTCAATGTTCATCCTATTATAATTCACAAAAAAATTCCATACATAACTTTCCGCTGGACGAGAATATGACAAAAGTTTGGCAATGCATTTGTGAATTGGCAATGCATTTTGTGAATTGGCAAACATATAACCAAGCACGTGACTGTGTGCAGTTTACATTTTACTGAGAACGATTACTTCTCAAGTGTTGGTTAAAATAATATTTATATTTTAATATATTTATACTTCATTTACTTTATAGTAACACCTGAAACTAAATTAAGAAGACTGAAGAACAACGCTGTTCCATCAGCTAAATTGACCCAACGGTATCATGAAGTTATTAGTAGAAAACGTAAGGCATAAAGCTCCAAAAACTGCCTCACCCTCAACTAAAGATCTCTGCCGATCTTGCAACCATATAAATAATTAAGATAATGGAAATTTTACTTCCCGTGTTTCAGACATACTGTAGAAAAACAAATATTTAATTTTATTTTTATTCAGGTTTAGGAGTCAATTACCTTATGTATAAACTCGAATCACAAACAAAGAAATTTTGAAGAATGTACTCCAACTTTTACTTTGGCAAAACACACGTGTAAATGATTTATATTAAACGTTTTATACCTCAGAGATCAAATGACAAAATTATTTGTTTTCCCGAAGTTATCGTCCATCTTTAAAATCTTCAGTGCCCCCTGTCGGAATTGGCTATCGCGAATACATCCTTGTCTGACTCCCCTCATAATTTCAACTTCTTGGGATATTTCAGGCCCAATTTTTACTGCAGAACTTGAATAAACTGTACCTAATTAACTGCCAGTTGACTATGTTGTTTTTGTAAACAGTATGTGTTTATTTCATATTGTCTTGTCATTTATACCGGTTGTCTCAAACCGAATGTGTTCAATGTTTAGTATAAAACATATATTTTTAAGGAAAATGTATTCAATTTGTACATACCTTCGTGCTTCCTAACTGATAATTATCCCTATCGAGATTTAGAGTAGCCAAGAAGTCCCGTACGTCATGTTGAGAGCTCAAAAGACCTTTGGGAAGGAGAATCCTATATAGCTGGATGAATTCATCATAGGTTAAACGAACATTAAAGCCGGCTTGTCGGATACGAACGGTTTCGAGCATACCGGTATAGCGTAGTTGTCTTTGTACTGTTTGTTCGTCGAATGTGTTGGGAATTTTATTGCCTGAAATAAAAAATGTTGCCAAAATTAATTTCAAATATATTATAAAAAAATATTTAGTAATTATTATAAATCGAAGGCTTGAAAAGGTTGTGTCCAACTGTGATCTACTGTGCAATGAAAAGAACAGGGAACAAACAATTCGTGAGATTTTTAGACCTTCTCGACAATATCACATATCGAGTGGAATCAAAAACACAGTTATCTCAAAGCTGATTCTGGAATACAAAAGGTTTACAAACAGTGAACTCGACATGGGTACTGAGATATTCATGTGTAGAGCGGAAAGGAAAGACCAATTTCCTTACAAGACTGGGCTCATCTACTGGATTTCTGAGATCCGAGCCTGATATTGTACTGCCCGTCAGTAATGCTCACGGTAGTCTCAAGGAGCTGCTTTCGAGACGGTTCCAGTACTCTAGGAATAGTGATGGGCGGACTTTGTAGCGCTCAAGAATCTTACAAATCAACTTCTCTTACTTAACCACAGCAGATGCTATTGGCCGGTCAGTAAGCGGACTGGTGATTATATATTTACATATCACCTATGTATATCTACTTAAATTGGTAGATATCTTCTTTCATGTACTCTGTGGATGTCCAGCATTGGTCTCACAAAGGTGACAAGACTTTGGTTCGGCGTTCATACAGTCAAGCTAGTAAAGGAGATACACTTCAGCAAGTTTGTGGTTCACTATGAGGTCACAAACCTTTTAGATAACTTAATAGGATCGGATCCTAGTGGACAATAGAAGGCTCGGCTGAATATCCAAATGTGTTGAAGACAGAGTCACCACAGGTCCAGTCTGGATTACACGTGGTAATGTAATAGACCGCTAAGAGGTTTAAATGACTGAAGTGGTCAGAAATGAGCTCTACCTAGAATCTACCATAACTATAGACAGTAGTAATCATCTTGCCATTGCGCACTTAATAAACATAACTCACACAAGGTAGCTCTTTATGTCCTAAGATGTGCTGTTACCAAGTTATTTCGTTCAAACACTTTCCATATCCCAAATGTTCAAAGCCTAACACACCTTCAGGTGGCCAAGATGTACAGAAATAGTGAATGGAGAAAATATAAAAGAAATCAATAAAAACATATATAGGAAACAAATCAAAACGAAAGAAAACACAATTTAATGACAGAAAAGTAGTTCAAATTAGCAAAGAGTTTTCAATCACTTACCACGTTCAAATTACTACTAAATATATTTTAAATGATCAAAAGTATCATATAAAATGTTCTCAATTGTTAAAATGTACAATTCCTTACCATTTGATTTGATACACCTAATAAAAAAGGGATTCGCCTGATTGAGCGTATCCATGAGCGAATGCAGGCTTTGTTGAAATTGAGCTGTAACCGTCATCGGTTGTTTCCTCGCCTTCCCTAACTGGCCTTGAGGTTGAGCAGTGATGCCGGTCCTACCCACTAACGTTTTGACCGTTTGGAGGTTCTTCAGTCCCTTCTTGCTGCGTTCGCGCGGCCGGAACGATTTGTTCTTCCTGTGAGAAAAGAATGTTACTAGAAGGAAAAGGATAGATGCGAGTAGTACAAAATGTACATTGAGTATAAATATATTATAGAAATGCTTGACAAAATTGTGTTTAGATTTTTATTTCCGTTTTAGTATTTTTAAAAGTATTTTTTTATAATTGCATAAAAGCATACTCCCAAATAACCAGGGTCACAGAAGACGGATTTTTGAAATGTTTTGTACGGTCTTTGCTTCCATTGGTATTATTTCATTTGACAAATACTTTTATTTTCCAAATAATATTTTTGTTCAAATAAAATGTGTTTTTATCAATTATATTACTTCTAAATTGGTCAACTGCTGTTTTTTCTTGTTTAAAAAATATAAAACTTACACAGGAGCTATACGTAACATTTAATATTAAAATGAAATAAAAATCTAAACAACTTGCAATCATAGCAGTTTTCTAAAATAGTTTTAAGCTTGTTGAAAGGTAAAGCATCATGCAAATTTTGATAAATTTATTATTTAACTTTCAGATTTTTAGATAATGATGAAAACTACTTACATATTATAGTCTGATACATATTCAATTACTAATAGAATTACTAGTAGAATATTGTTGACAAATTATTGACATACATGTATTAACATCTATATGATACACATTTTTTTACATTATTAAATTTGCTAAGGTGTTTATGTTCATTTGCATTTTGTTTTCACTTCGATGAGATTTGTACCAGTATTATTATTATGAAATTGGCAAGTAAATAGTAAGTGATTGCAAATGTACACGCATTATATTATTTTTAGGTTAGTGATCTAAGTTGTTTCTTTATATACATATAATACAAGGTAGACTGACTGCTGCAATATATTGGCGTTCCCCCAGTGCGACAGAGAAAACTGACCCAAAGCAGTCCCTGCATCTCTGTCTAATGGGCCGGGTTTCTCTACCACGTGACCTTCTCATTGGTCATTTGGGTCACGTGGTCAATAAACATGGCAAATTAGAAAGAGATGCAGGGACTGTCTTACATCAGTTTTCACTGTCGGACTGCGTGAACGAGCTAGTATTGCAAGGATCAGTCTATCTTGTATTATATGTCCATTGATTACTTTTCGATTATCTTAGGAATCGATAGCTAGCAAAATTGGAGCATGCAACTTGATTCGCTAATTGAGGGCTTTCATTTGAACCAACAACGGTATTAAATGCAAAAAATCGCAGAAGTCGATTTTTAAGACAAAGAAATCAATAAACCAAATAAAATTGATTTAAAACTCAACTCAACTGTAAAAGTAAGTCAAATGGGTTTCTGAGAACCGATTGGAGAAATAAGACAGTCTTGGATATGTTAGAGACTATGAGGATACAACTTTCAATAATCGTACTGTCAGAAAAATATTCACAGTGATGCTCAAAGTTCTTTAACCAGTCTGAAAAATACGTTTTCCCGAGGTCTGCAAAGTAGACTTCCGCGACGGCGATGACCTCCTGTTCCGACTTAAATTTCTGCCTAGATAAATCTAGAGAATATGGTGGATGGGGAAACAGTTTGTAGCCCAATTCGACCAATTTGCCATACCGACGGCGAATGTATGAGCGGGTCCGTTATCATGGTGAAAGAACACTTTTTATTCGCTAAATAGGATCGTTTTATGCAATTCGGCATCGAATAGGCCCAATAATTCGCCGTAGTATACCCCTGTGACCTTTTTGCCATTTTCTAGGTAGTTAAAGTAGATCACCGGTTGTGAATCCCAGAAAATGGTGGCCTTCGCAACACGTTAGCCGGGTGCCGCCACTGTTCTGACTGTTTCTTGGTCCCTGGTGCGTACCAGTGGATTCATGTTTTGTCAATGGTTACGAAACGACGAAGAAACTACTTCGGATTACGCTTAAATAGCGTCAACCACGGCTCTGAAGTGGTCTCACAGTTAAGCTGGTTATCCGGAGTGAGCTCTCACGCCCAAAATTTCACGCAGGTTAAAACATACTCGGTCTTTTGATATACCTGCTGTCTCAGCTATCTCTCGTACCTTCAGTCGGTGGTCTGCCAATATGAGATCATGAATTTTTGTCACGTTTTCCTTCGTGGTAGCCGATTTCGGGGCACCTGGGCGTAGCTCATCAAAAACCGACGTGCAACCACGTCGAAACTCGTTTAACCAATTTTTGAGGGTTCTCATCGAAGTTAAGAGTCATTGCGCGATTTCCCTTGAGATAGTAGCGCCATCGGGCGGTAAGGCTTAATATTTATCGAACCGCCTACGTATTTCACGCTATCTTATGTTTACCATAATTGTAAAAGATTATTCTAGATTTACATACGTTTTAAGATTCATTCCTAGTAAGGCTAGAAGACTTAATCGTAGCTTTTAATTTGTAATAGTAAGTGCTGCCTTAACATGTGAAGGTTCGGTTGTAGGACACTGATTTGGGTCATTAAAACCTATTTGGCACAGTTCACGACAGGGATTACCTCCCAGTTTGCTCCCTTTATATTTTTATTTGCAGACAGAAAAGTCACTCAAAAGCCCAGGTAAGGCAGTGCGCCCCTACCGTGCCAAGGCTGAGAGTTCAATCATAGCACAATATGGGCGCCCATAATCCAAAGAGTTCGTCAGCTCTCAGACATCGCTTAGGCAACACTTTTTCCTCTGAGTTCACACCATACTCGGGATTGGTGTAACGCCACTATAGCACAAATCCCACCGAAGGATAAACCAGTTGTGAAGCGACTGTGTGGTGATTTGCCAATTGAGCGTGGTGTACGTATACATGTGTATCTGTATTTTATGTTTGTGTGTGCGTCTGTGTCACGCTCAATCAACAAATTTCTTTATCAGCCATATCAAACATTCCTCCTTATCAGCCATTGCTATAGACCCGTCGTGTCGGGAATTATAACTTATTCATCCAGTATGTTCTACGCAGAGTTCTACTTAGTATAGAGCTCTATTTGCTTTGGTGAGCTATTTGCTCACCAAAGCAAATTTGGAGAAGATAAGGATTCAAAGAGTCAAGAAATATCAAACTGGGAACTTGCGAAGTCAACAGACCATGAGAAAAATAGAAAAAGGTGGAAGAAAAAAATGTGATAACGAATTACTTAAGACGAACATATATTTTTAATAATCTCTATCCTTTTTGAGCCCTAAACTAATATTTTTTTAGCCTTTTTTTACTCAAAAGCCCAAATATAGACCTCTTTCTTCTCTCCAAGCTTAGCTAGAGTGTTAATGATTTAAAGCAAAATGGACAATGTACATAGAATGCAAAATATGATCTGATATGAACGGTCATGTTATGTTTGTATCAATCAAACGTTAATAATTTCGATAAAATGTCAATAATTGTCTACACAACTGGCAAAATTTTAAACAGTTAAAATTTTAAAAGTTACATGCAAGGAATAAATCATGCAGATAAAAATGTTGAAACCTTAGAATCTTTTTATGCTGAACAATTGAATTATAAATGATAAATGAAAATTATGCTAAAAGCTTTATATATATATATATATATATATATATATATATATATATATATATATATATATATATATATATATATATACAAATTCACACATTTATAGGCCATATACCAAGCTATCAAACCATCTATTTCAAACAAACCCATTTATAGTGGGAACAAAGGTATTTAAATTAAATGTAACCATATTTTAATTCAAAAATCATACATTTTGATGTAGAATTAGATGGCTTAACTAACAAGCGAACATAAAACGAAATTGATGTGAATAAAAGTATGAGATGTGTATTACAGTGAAAGTTTGCGACTCGTTCCACCTTTACGCCAGCCATATCACCACTTTGGATCCTTCACCACCACTCAATCAAGACACTACTTCGTATGTTTAGCAATATCATAAGGCAACCATTTTTATAATGTTTAAAGTAAGTACTGTCTTGTTCTTTGCAAGGGTAAAATATAGGCAACAGTTTAATATAAAAAAAGTAATATATAAATTCAGCTTACATGTTTTTAACGGAGTTAAATATTGATAATAAACTAGTAAACTATACTAAAAACGTTTCTACAACTACTTTCTTGTTGCATTTATATATTAACTACTATACTCAATGGAAATAAACCACATTATTGTTTAAAAATACTTTGTAATTGACAGTTCAATTTCCACCTTAAAAATAATTCTCAAAATCGAGAATTTTTATTCTCCTAGGTATCTGGTTGTTTAATTTAGTACAACATATATATTTGGACTTTTGGCCATTTATATTTAGTTCAATTCTGTGCAGTCGCAATTAAGTAGCGGAATGCTTCGGTCAAAGATTCTGTGGACCCATGATGTCGATGCCATCTGCATATCCGACAACTTGTACATATTTGTAGAAGGTAGTACCATTTGTATACATATGGGACTAATTATTTTTCTAGAGAAATCTTAAATAAGAGAGACGATAGGGCATCACCATGTCTTGATCGATTTTTGCTATAGGGTCCTGAAAAATCGTTCTGGATTCTGACCATGCTCGCTGCTGCTGTGAGTGTAAGTTTCTATCTATTAACTGAGTCGTACGCGGCTTTGAAATCCACGAATATGTGATGTGTGTCGACGCCGAACTCTAGGGATTTTTCAAGAATCTGCCTCTGTAAATATTTGGTCCATGGTTGATTTATTGGGTCAGAAGTCGCACTGATATCCATCCACTATTCGTTCAGCGTAGAGGAGCATTTTTTTTATAATAGGTACAGTACTTCAGGACAGTATTTTATATGCTACATTGAGTAGAGTGGTGCCTCTATCATTGTTACTACTAAGTTTTGATCTGTCTGCAAGTTCGTCTGTACTTTACAGTAAAAGGTTTCAGTATTTTTTATCTTTCTGTTACGATAACAAATGTTATGGCGTATAAAACTGTAAATATTTTATGACTAATTCTTTTTTTTTATCGATTCTCGTAATTTCTAGGTCAAAATCTACCTGACACACGATGGGTTCCCCTTCGCTATAAAAACAACAGATAAGAGCTTTC